CTGCCAAGGGGTCGCGGAGGGGGGGGGTTATTGCCCAATCATCTGGGACTCGGAGTGGCGTGGGGACGGCGGAGGAGTCCTTGCGTTTCCGACTCCACGCACTCCAGCCACGGTAAACAGAGCAAGTCAGGGAGCAGGTTGGAAAATCGCGAGCCGAAATAAATGCGGAGTCGCTCTGCCCTGCGTTACCGTGTGCCTGTCGGCCTGTCAGCCCGGGCTGTCGCGCCGCGCCCTGCGTTGATGCGGGCGGGGAGGATGCAGTGCAGTAAGCCAAACGGAAAGCGGTATTTGTATTCCCAGCCCAGTCACGTCGGGGCACCATTCTGCAGATCTGTACCAGTCCTGGGCGGGGCGGGGCGGGGCGGTAGCAGCACACCAGCGTTGTTCAACAGCACCCTCCCCCGCTGTGCCCTTTCCGCCTTGGTTTTGGATAGGACCGCTCCGGTCCGCGATCGAGCGTGCCGGTGACGGGGATGGGGGATGCGGCGCGGGGGAGGGGGAGGGGGAGAGGGAACGGCGCGGTCCGCGTCCCGCCGCCGCGAGCAACGCCAAGCCACGCGGAGCGCCCGCGGACCACTGGGTAGGCAACCCGTCCATCGCCTCGCACGCGAGCGCGCCGGGTGGCCTACCCGCCGTTGCGCGGGCGCTCGCCCGACCGGGCTGCGGGCGACGTGCACTAGTGCGGTGCGGACCGCAAAAGTACGTGCGCCACAACGGACGCCTTGACAAACACCAGCACACACACATGCACGCGCAGACACACACTCGCGCAGCTGCTGGAGCTGAAATATTCGAGGCTCCCACTCAAAAAAAAAAAGAAAGGAGGAAGAGGATAGTGGAAAGGGGTAGGTGGGTAGGTGGAGGAGGAGGGGGGAAGAAACTGGAAAACAAAGCACAGTACACCCGAAATGAATCCAGAGAGAAGGAAATCCGCGGCTGCACGCTAATGTCGAGATTAGTCCGCTCGGGGGAAGGGGGAGGGGGCGGGGGAGTGTGAGTGGGGGGAGGGGGAAGGGTGCAGGGTGGGGGGGAGGTGCAGCGAGGCGCTGGCATCCCTTCCTCTCCGCCGCGCCGCGCCGCCCGGTCGATGTGTGCGGCGTCTCGCTCGCTCTTTGGCTCTCCGTGCTCTCCGTGCCTGTGCTGCTGCCAGGACCCCGGGCCCGGTCCACCTCCTCGCGACTCCTGCCGCCCTGCCGCCGCTGACATTTAGCGCAGCGCGGAAGGCCGCGTCCCGGGGCCCGGAGCAGGTCGTGAAGGCCCGCGGCGCGGTGGACGGCGCGGTGGACGGCGACGGCGGCGTCTGGAGACGGGCCGAGGCTGAGCCGGCCCCGCACGCACGTTTACGAGGCCAGCCGACGCCAGCGCGACCCAGCCCCTCCACTGTAACGCAGACTTCCCCCGACGCCGGCGGCGACCGGCATATAAAGATGACGACGTGCTGTCGCGCCGCTTTCTCCTTTTCCCTCCCCGGTTGACGCATTCGACAGGGGAGCGGCCTTGGCGCCTTGGGCGCCTTGGGGTGGGCCCAGAGGGCCTCCGGGCTGCCTGCCACACTGCCACGGCCTGCCACATTTATGGCCCCACTTCGGACAGCCTGGCCGGGCCGGGCCGCCCAAACCCCAGCACAATGGGACGAGGGACGCGACGCGACGACGGCGGGGAAGGCCTGCAGGACCGGCAGGGCGCACGCCACATATCACGCGCCCTTTGGCACCTCGGCCTGCTTGGCCTGCTTGGCCCGCCTCGGCCGCGGCCCGAAGGTCGCCAATGTCGCCAAGAAGGGCCGCCGCCGATGCCGAGACGAGACGCGGCGTCAAGGGTCGGCGTCGAGGGTCGACCACTTTTTGACCAACTTTGGTCCCAAAATCGTTGCGGTCAGAGGCAAAATCGTTGTGGTCAACGTCTCCCCGACACAGGGCATGAAAGATTAGGGTCTTAAGAATACTAGGCCGTCGAGGGAGGCCTTTTAATGCAACTGGATTGGACACAGTTGCCGCCCAAAGTCAGCAAAATCATCAAATTTCCGAGATTCAACGGCTTTTTGACCAACTTTGGTCCCAAAATCGTTGCGGTCAAAGGCAAAATCGTTGTGGTCAACGTCTTCCCTATACAGGGCATGAAAGAGTAGGGTCTTAAGAATACTAGGCCGTCGAGGGAGGCCTTTTAATGCAACTGGATTGGACACAGTTGCCGCCCAAAGTCAGCAAAATCATCAAATTTCCGAGATTCAACGGCTTTTTGACCAACTTTGGTCCCAAAATCGTTGCGGTCAAAGGCAAAATCGTTGTGGTCAACGTCTTCCCTATACAGGGCATGAAAGAGTAGGGTCTTAAGAATGCTAGGCCGTCGAGGGAGGCCTTTTAATGCAACTGGATTGGACACAGTTGCCGCCCAAAGTCAGCAAAATCATCAAATTTCCGAGATTCAACGGCTTTTTGACCAACTTTGGTCCCAAAATCGTTGCGGTCAAAGGCAAAATCGTTGTGGTCAACGTCTTCCCTATACAGGGCATGAAAGAGTAGGGTCTTAAGAATACTAGGCCGTCGAGGGAGGCCTTTTAATGCAACTGGATTGGACACAGTTGCCGCCCAAAGTCAGCAAAATCATCAAATTTCCGAGATTCAACGGCTTTTTGACCAACTTTGGTCCCAAAATCGTTGCGGTCAAAGGCAAAATCGTTGTGGTCAACGTCTTCCCTATACAGGGCATGAAAGAGTAGGGTCTTAAGAATGCTAGGCCGTCGAGGGAGGCCTTTTAATGCAACTGGATTGGACACAGTTGCCGCCCAAAGTCAGCAAAATCATCAAATTTCCGAGATTCAACGGCTTTTTGACCAACTTTGGTCCCAAAATCGTTGCGGTCAAAGGCAAAATCGTTGTGGTCAACGTCTTCCCTATACAGGGCATGAAAGAGTAGGGTCTTAAGAATGCTAGGCCGTCGAGGGAGGCCTTTTAATGCAACTGGATTGGACACAGTTGCCGCCCAAAGTCAGCAAAATCATCAAATTTCCGAGATTCAACGGCTTTTTGACCAACTTTGGTCCCAAAATCGTTGCGGTCAAAGGCAAAATCGTTGTGGTCAACGTCTTCCCGATACAGGGCATGAAATAGTAGGGTCTTCAGAATACTAGGGCGTCGAGGTCACTTTCCGGGTCAAACTTGCAGTTTGCACGAAAGAAATTCCTTGCCGTCGCCGCGACGCCAGTCCTTTGGCATGCAAAATAAAGAAGACTGCGGTTGAAATGCGCCTCGAAGCGCAGGTAAAGGACGATTCGGACTGGGGGTGGGCCGCCTCGCTTCCGACCGCCAGGGCCAGGGGCAGGGCCAGGGCAGGGCCGAGGCAGAGCCACAAGCCGCAAGCCACAAGAATCATTAGACTCTGCCACCCTGCCGGCGTCGTGGGAGTGGCTGGAGAGCTCTCGGTCCGAGACTGCAAACTGATTCCCAGATTCGTGTTCGTCGCGCTGTCTCTCTCGCACCCATACGGGACATCCCATGAGTGCGAGAGAGACAGAGCGATGGACTCGACTCGGGCTTCCCTTTGGGAGGCGGTGCTGCGGGTCGAGCTAGCCGCCCTGACGAGCGAGGCGATTAAAATTCAAATTGCATTCGTCTACTTCTTATAAGCTTTTTTTTCGTCCCCGGCTGCCTCGACCCCCACTTTCCGACAGGCTACACCTCCGAGGGCCTCGGCCGCGCCGCTCGCGGGGAGTTTTCTTATTTTATCCCTGTTTTCTTGCTTTATCGCGAAGGCAGGCTTGCCTGCAGACTGATTCCGAGAGTCGCGCTGCCCCTCTCGCACCTGCACGGGACGCCCCGTGAGTGCGAGAGAGACAGGGCGACGACTCTCGGAATCAGTCTGCTGGGCTCGCCTGGGCTCGCCCGCCACCGCTACCCTCTGCGGCCCCGGCCTGTCCCGGCCCCGGTCGGGCAACCGGCCAAGAGAGCGAGCGAGAGAGCGCCGCCGCAGAGACATTCGCGCTCCCTCGCGCCCGCACGCGGCGCGGCCCGCCTGGAGGCCCAGCCCGGCCCGGCCCCATCGCTCTCTGTCGCACCTGTTTGCCGCTCCGCTCCAGGTAAAGGACCTAAAGGACCTAAAGGACCCCACCCCGCCGCCAAAGTATCACTATATCCCCGTCGGGAGGGTTATTTCACAAGGCGGGGCTGCAAAGCGTGCAAATCGTAAAAGCAAAACGACTCTGGGCTGGCTGGCTGGCTGGCTGGGGCCATCGGGACGAGGCTTGCCGGAGGCTTGCCCTAATGGTATTCAGGTGGGCCGGGGCCGGGAGGCGAGCACTCGGCATGTGGAACGGCTGGAAACAAAGGACTTCGGTCCAAGACGGCGCATCTCGAGCGGGACCGGGTTCAAATCCCGGCCTCTTCAACACTTTTTTTTTTTGACGTCACAATTTTAAAATATGAGGCCGAGTGGAAAAAACGAGGCACGAAAAAACAAAAGAATGTTTGAAAAGCGAGCACAGTTTGCTTCGGTTTTATTTTTAATCTCCTTTCCCCACTCTGGCGCGGACTAAGGGTCCTCTCCTCTGACTGCGGTCCTTCAGTGACATGTTTATTTTTTTTTAGAGAAACGGAAGCACTCCAGTTGTATGCACCGGCAAAGGTGGCTGACGGTCGCGTCGCGCACTCAGCAAACACGTCGGGGCGTTCGAGTGGGGGCGGAGGGGAGGGGGAGGGGAGGGGGAGGGGAGGGGGAGGGGAGGGGGAGGGGGGAACCAAAACGACAGACAGGCGACAAGGGCGGCGACGGGCTCTGTCGAATCCGATTCGAATTTCGATTCGGAATGCCGAACGCCGCGAGCTTAGTTGTTCGCCCCTACCTTGTCGGCGAGCAGGCCGTCACGCGCAATTCGTTCTCCAAGACTCTCTCTCTTCTCTCTCTCTCTCTCTCTCTCTCTCTCTCTCTCTCTCTCTCTCTCTCTCTCTCTCTCTCTCTCTCTCACACTTTTTCCTTTACCAGAGCGCCCCTCTCTCTGCCCGCAGTGGCCGTGGTGCTGACCTTCTTCATGTGCTGGGCGCCCTTCCACACGCAGCGGCTCGTCGCCGTCTACATGCACCAGGGCGACACGCCGGAGGAGAACGAGCGCTTCAAGAACATCTTCAACTTCATCACGTACCTGTCCGGCGTGCTCTACTTCATGTCCACCATGATCAACCCCATCCTCTACCACAGCATGTCCAACAAGTTCCGCGACGCGTTCTGGGTGAGTCTCTGTCTCTCTCGCACTCGTGGCGTGTCCCGTGCAGGTGCGAGAGAGACAGTGCGACGGCAGCGACTCTCGTCCTGCACCACGCCCGGCGGGTAGGCAGCCCATCCTACGCCGGGCAGCACGCGTCTACCAGTGGACACAACTCGCACGATGCACCAGTGCCGAGAGGGTTGTTCCCCTACTTCGACCTCTCTGAAAAGAAGTATCGTATACTTACTTGTGCCGCGTGAGAAACGCAGTGTGTCAACCTTTCCGAGAGTGTTAGGGCTGACCTCTAGCATGTCGTTTTCACCGTTTTTGCCGCTGTGCTCTGACAAACTTCGGGCACTTTTTGGTTAATCTTCAATAAGGACAACTCGCTTTGCACCTGCCCGTCCAGGACACCGTGTACCGCGACTTCCACGGCTTCGCGTGCCTCGCCATCCCGGAGCAGTGGAAGAAGAAGCAGGAGAGCCGGTACAACATCCGGCGCGGCAACCGCGAGTGGTCCAGGCGCAACGGGTGTGCCGAGCGTGCGGAGTGTACGGAGCAGCAGTCCAGCTACCGCCGCAACCGCCACAGCAACAGCCTGTTCGAGGTGACAGCCGCCGCCCCACCACAGCGCCACTGCCCTGGCCGCCCTGGCTAGCCGCAGCGCCACTGACAAAATTGATGACAATTTCAAGGCTAATTTTCCTTACAACAATGTCACCAAAACGATTGATGACATTGATGTCACGCGAACAGACGTTCGCGACCGAACTGTTCCTTCTTTTTTTCCACGTCTGGTAAAAAAAGGGGGTCTTTTCGGGCGCTGGAGACTTGTTGGCAGAGCGGGCAACAAGTCCGATGCTCGCGGTTGTAAACTCGCCACTCTTGTTCCAGCTTTTGCCGATGAGGAGTAGCCCGAACCCCGCGGCGTGCGCGGCGTCGGCCGAGGCGGAGACCAAGATGGAGACGTGAGTACCGATTCCCCGGCAGGCTCATTCCGAGAGTCGTTTCCGCCGCTCTGTCTCTCTCGCACTCGTGCGGCGTCCCGTATGGGTGCGAGAGAGACAGAGCGACGAAACCGACTCTCGGAATCAGACCGTCGTTTCGCGGCCTCGCGGGCGGTTGACGGGTTGCTGTGACGAGACCGCTTCCTGTTGCAGCCTGGACAGCCCCATCGTGGACCCCAGCAAGCTGGAGGCGCTGCTCCAGAACGGAGGCTCCAACCAGCGTGAGTACTCAAATCTGCGCGTTAAACATCCATCGCCTTGATGGTCTTGATGGCCCCGGGGGCCGGAGCAGGGCGGTAGCAGGCGGGAGCCGGGGCCGCGCGCCCGAGTGCTAAAACACCGCCGACACTTTGCATAAACGGTTCATGGAGAGGGGGGGTACCCCCCCGCGGGGACCTCACCCAGGCACGGCCGGCGCCGCCGGAGAGCAGCTCTCTTTCTTTTCTCTGCCGTGTGAATGTTACACCAGGTGTCGGCCCGGTAACGGACAGCGTGTAGGGCCAGGAGGGCCAGAAGGGGCTCCCGGAGGAAGGGCGCGGGCCCGGCCCACGTAGGCCAATCGGGGCGAGGCGAGGCGAGGCGCTGCGAGGAGCCGAGGATGTTCCTGGCCGCCAGCCAGAATCAATCCCAACAGTGTGCGAGCCGCGCCGTGCCCCGCCCTGCCTGCAGACCCATTCCGAGACAAGTTTTCGTCGCGCTGTCTCTCTCGCACTCACGGGGCGTCCCGTCTACGTGCGAGAGAGACAGAGCGACTCTCGGAATGAGTCGACAGGTCGTGCCTGCACTGGAGGCCCTGCCCTGCTGACCCTCTCCCCTCGCGCCGCTCCCGCCACCCCCGCCGCCTCCAAGACGTCCAAGACGCTCCAAGAACACGGCGCCCCCCGATTCATCTTGGCATCATTGATGACGCTCTCTGTCTCTCTCTGTCCGCAGACGGGCTGGTGCTGCCCACGCTGCTGCGCTCGCACTCGCTGCACGCCAGCACGCCGCACAGGGGTCGGCGGCGGCCGCCGCGGCGCAGCTGCACTGTGGACGTGGTCACGGAGGTGATGCGGGCGCAGCACGACGGGCTGGTGGTGCCGGCGGCGCGGGAGCAGGGGCCGGGCCGGCGAAGGCAGTCCCCCGCAGCCGCCGCGCCGCACCACCTCCAGGACGCCACCCTCGACGCCATCCTGCCGTGCCCCGCCACGCCCACGGCCCACGCCCCCGCCAACGGCGCCAGCCCCCGGCGCGCGGCCGCCGCGTTCACCGCCACGCCGAGCCCCAGCCCGCCCTTCAGGCCCCGCGTCGTCGAGATGTACCTCAAGCAGGAAGTGGTGCCGGAGCCGGGCTGGGTCTGAGCGAGAGCGGCGAGAGCGGCGAGAGCGGCGAGAGCACTCGCAAACTTTTGGCGGGGAGTGTATCCTGTTGCTGCCAGCCCCGCCCCGCCCCGCCGCTCGACCCCGTGCGTCCCCCAATCAGAAACTAAAGTGCGCAAAGTGATAAACGTTTGATAGTGATGTGCGTGCCGACAAGTTTTCGGACCTAATGACTCTCTGTTTAATTCTTTCTCTAAAAGGTTGTTGCTTCTAGTCAGAAAATGACTGGCCTTGCCAACAGAAAGGTTGTGATTCTGTAGCTCTAGTGCGTGCAGTGGGAAGGTTGTGCACAAGAATGTGTAGGAGCGATGTGCGGGTGTGTCAGCCAGTGAGATACGAGCCCTTCCGAATGTGCGCCCCGTGGAGCGCGGCCGAACGCGAGTCGCTTGCGTGATATTGGTTGCAAAAGTTAGTTATTGGAGCTGGGAACAAAGACGGCCTGCGCGCTCACATTCGAAATCGAATAAAGGAAGACGTCAAGGCTTGTCAGCGAGACCCTCCCGCTCTGCTCTCAAGTTGGTGCCGTCGATACTAGTGCTGTACATATCAAGGACAGATATTTGTCTCCGGGATCTGTTCAGCAGATACGATTTGTCGACGGAGTTTTGCACGATCTGTGCACAGCAGTTTTGTAAAAAAAAAAAATCATGATTGTATGGAAATTGGTGGGTGGCAACATCGTGTTTGCATGTTTCTTTTTTCGTACCTTCATTTTCTGTATTTGTTTTTAACAAAATGTAAGGCGTGCTAGGCTTTTTGTCACTGCTGCTAAGTGAAGTCCTACTGGAAGTCCGGCTGAATAGTTTTCTACCCTTCATTTAAACTTCGTTCATTGAAACTTTTCATTTATGAACAGAGCGCGTTGTTTTGAAGAGAGAGATGTGGTGGGGGTCTCGTCTACCTCCTTCCCCCCTCCTAACGGCCTGCAAGACGCTGGCCGGCGAGCCTCCGCAAATTGACACTCGAGACAGTCGGCTGTCCATATCGAATTGCCTATCGCCTCCCAATTCGCTCTCGAATGAGTGCCGCCCTGAAGCCCCGCAGGCTGATTCCGAGAGTCGTTTTCGTCTCTGCCATCTCGAAGGAACCGCGGGCCTATCTCAAAATCTCAACTTTCTTGTACCTACCTTCCTCCCTAGTCACTATAATGCCAAATAATCTCACACGAGAGAAAATAATAGTTCAAGCAGACACGAGGTTATATTTCTCTCCAAAGTCTATGTGTATTTGAGTATTTTCCTTGTATTTTTCTATTTCCTATGCCAAATAAACTCTCTGTCTCAGAAAGAAAACGAGTATGGTCTTACTCCACTATCATCATGGTGTTTTCCACATAAGCAGTCAAAATTTCCCTCGATGCACTAAGGGTTGGTAACGACTGACCACTGAGCAAATTTTCGAGAGCAAAACCCAGTTATAAGCCATGTAGGCAGTCTGGGGTTGCCAACCCATTCGACTGTGGTGTGTCACAGGGATATTTGTGAACTGAAGGTGACAACACCGGTCCAGCATGCGTAGTCAGCAGAGACGCCATGCCACGCTCGAAGACCCACCACGCCCACCACCCACCTCGGGCAAGGAGTATCGACACCGAGGTGGCGGATTGAAGTCTCCCGGGTGCGCGGGGTATCTCCGCCACAGGGACCACCCGTCACGTGCAAAATAATGAACGACACGCGGGCAATACTTTTCAACTCATTTTTATTTCCAAAGATGACGCCGTGACAGAAAACCGAGTACTCTTGAGGAGGCGAGTCCGTGACTCATGTGTGTTGCTTTGACCTTGCCCGCGACCTTGAGACGTTCGGCATGAGGAGCAAGCGCGGCGAGCGGGAAGCGCCATTTGACGCCAATGAGTCTGCTGACCGCCGTCGCCCCGTCCCTCTCGCACTCGAGGAGCGCGCCGCATAGCCGCACCGGCGCGAGAGAGACAGAGCGACGGAATGAGTCTGCTGGCGGCCTGGCGGCGTAACGTCCTTATGGTGTGGAGACTCAATGGGTGGCGGACCGGCAAGACCAACAACAACAGTGGCACCGAATTGACCGCCAGACGGACCGGCGGGGCTCGCCAAGGGCGCGAAGGGCGCCGCCAAGCCAAGGGCCTGTCCGAAGGACCCGAAGGGCAGCGCTGGCATCCCGCGTCTCTCTCGCACTCGCGGGGCACCCCGTGGGGATGCGACAGAGACAGAGCGCCACCCCGCGGCGCGGTGTTCGAACCCCAGACCTCACAGGGACGGCCTAGAGCCCGTTGAGGTCGCCGTCGAGGTCCACGTCGTTCTCGTGCTGCTCCTCGGCGGCGGCGCACGCGGCCTGCTGCGGGTCGCAGCGCAGGCCGGGCGTGCAGGGGCAGAGCTGCAGGTGCACGGCGGACAGGAAGACCTCGCTGCCGTCGGGGTAGCTCAGCGTCACGTTCTCGGGGCGCTCGCGGCCCGGCCGGCAGGTCTCGCCCAGGTCCGGCATCGGCACACAGCGGGGCAGGCTGAAGCGGCCCGTGCCTGGCAAACAGCACGAACAACCAGGGAACAGTCAGGACACGTCGCTTTTGCAGTGCAAGCCAGTTTTGGCGGGAATGGCCGACAGTGTCGCCACACAGGTAGGCCGAAATTCCTTTGATGGTCCAGCGAAGACAGGGTTGCCAACCTCGCAAGCCTGCCCACTAGGCGAAATCCGGGCTCCTCTCAAAAAGTGGCGCACCCGGCAGGCGGAGGTTGGCAACCTTCTGGACATCGGGATTCGGGCCCAAGGGAAAGCACCGCTCACCGAGGACGCAGCACTCCCAGGTGCCGCACTCGCTGCTGTCCTCGCACTTGATGTAGCCGGGCCGGGCGGGCCTGGCGGGGCTGGCGGCGGCCGGCGGGGCCCCCAGCACTCCCAGGAGGGCCAGCGCTCCTAGAGCGAGGGCCGCGCGCATGCTGCAACACGGGGAGACAATCTGGTTAACGTGTACTGCCGGCAGATGCCCATTTTCTGAAACTTAATCGTAAACCAGGATTGCCCTGTTGATTTCTTCGCCAGCCAACACACCTATTAACACGTTCTACGACATTTTTCTTTCAATTTGTGTCAATTTTTGTTTCAAATTACCTCTGATACATATTAAAACAATTTCTTTGAGTGAACAAAACATTGTCTTTTCAAGAGATTTTTTTTCGGAATACACACTACTGACCTTTCCTTTGTTTCTAGGCCAATTATTGGCGTCTTATCGACGTAGCCGATTGGGTGACGTCAAAGCGACTGTTGTTTTTGTTTTGAGGCGGGGGCCATTGGCCGCCCAGCATAGATCCTGCGAGCCTGTCGCATCCGGACGGTTCTATAGCATGCCGGCCGTCTGCGAAGGGGTGTTCGAGCGAGCCGACCGGGGGCGGATCCAGGGGCGAGTTCAGGGGGGGGGGCGTCGCGAAAGCTGTCGTCCTGGGACAAAGCGCGACTTTTTTCCTGCCTTTGAGGCGAGACGACATAGCCCCTCCGCTCCTGGCTCCGCGCCTGGTACCAACGGTAGGGAATGCCCAAGCTCCGATGAAAAATAAAAAGCAGCCGGCTTATCGAGTCATCAAGATGGCGCGACTGGGCGTGACTCATCGTGCTCGCTCGCCAGCTTCCGAGACTTCTCCTCCAAGACCTCGACCCAGACCTAGGATCGCTGGTCGGGGGGAAGTCCTTCCACCTGCGAGCCCACTTACTTGGTGTCACCGGCGAGGACGAGGAGCCCGGGACGACAACCAGTGTGCCGGACAGGCGGGGGCGGGCTGGGGCCGGGCTGGGGCCGAGAGGAGAGGAGTCCGCAAAACGCGCAAGACTCCCTCACACGCCAGATGGCCGGAGACAATGAGCCTGCAGGCTGCAGCGCACGTCGGGCACGTCGTCCTACGTCCCAACAACAAGTCGATGAGTCGGATGAGTCGACGCCGGCCTCCTCCCCGCACTCTCGGCGCGGCGTGGCGTGGCGTGGCGTCATGGAGTCAATCAGACTCTGCAGCCTCGCTGCGATGCTGCGACGCTGCGATTGTGTGATTGTGGTTACGCGCGTCGTTTTCCGCGAATTCCATCCGTGCGCCGAGTCAGCCGATGGGCCGCATCGCATCGCACACCACGGACCGCTGCCTCTCTCTCTCTGTCTCTCCCGCTTGGAACCAACGGTACGACCATCTCTGCCTCTGTCGGATGCGACTTATCTTGGAAAGTAGGTTTTGTTCTTATTGACTCATTCAGTAACAACGAGAGCGGGAAGGGTGGGGGCGGGAGCAAGAAGGGGGGAGCGGGGAAGTACCAACACGTTGCGCTGTGTTTCTCATACCACACCGACCGTTTCTAGCCTCCTAGCAGTCACCTGCGAAAGCGAACGCCAATCCCTCTTGTAAACACTCAACACTTTTGTTTTGAAACCAGGAAGTGGGGAAAAGCTCGGAGGAGTAGGAATCTGGGTTATTTCTACGAACAGACTAAATTCTCGTGATTGTTAGCAGATTTATTTTGTGCCTACCTTTGATAAGTGAGTCATGCTTTGATTCGATTTCTCATCTCAGCAGAATCCGACTGATATTTCTCTTATACGTTTTCTTTATTTAACTTGCTGAAACCAAATGGCTTTTGCTAGATTTCCTCCTGCAACCGTTTTTAACTATTTCATCACAGACTGGTTTAAGTATCTGTCGAATTCTGATGTCCTCTGCTTGCATAGAAATAACTATAGAACCGTTTCCTCTTGTTGTAAATGTTTTCCTCACCTTGACAATATTGTTTTAAATTTTATTTTCAATTTATTTTTTGTTTTGCTGTATTGAAGTCCTTTGTCTAGGATGTACCTTATTTTACTGTCCCAAAAGACCTTTGCATTCCATAAACTCTTTTCCCATTTGTTTCCCTTGTGTAATGGTAGACTCAATTTGTTTCTCAGATTTCTTGAAATGGATGGGAAGCAAGGAAATAATGCATCCTCACCCAACAAAGAGGATGACTCACCTTCACAGCAAGGTGCCGCTAGCAGACCCCCTCCCTCTGCAACAAGCGCGTTAGTTTCGCACTGAGTTTTGTTTCCTTTTTGGTCATCTTCTCAGATGTATTTAATCATCAGCATTGTTATTTCTCATTACCAGACTTGGAATGCCATCGGGACGACTTCCTCCATTTGTCGGCATATCAGGAGTTGCACCATCACCACCACAGTTTGTGACAATGGAAGAAATAATGTCTGCTGCCAACGGCTTGACAAACATGAGGCTCTTCCATGAGATTGCTGTAGACCAAGACTTTAAACTGACCCCTTATGATCCACCTGAGAACAGGTTTCCCTTCGTTTCATCAATGTCATATCTATCTATCCTACTCAGGGATTTAATCTTGTAACCTTTTCTATTCCAGCATTGAAAAAGCTGTGAAGGATGCTGCACACAGAGCATTTTGGGACTTGCTTTCCAAGGAACTTGAAGAAGATCCGCCTGTATACACTCGTGCTTTGATTCTCCTCGAGGAGGTGAAAACGGTACAGTGCTGGTTCTTCTTAAAGATGTCAGTTAAGTAACACCATGGTTTGTACATGACAATGTTTTGTTCTTTTGTTTTTAGATATTGCTCGAACTGGTGCTTCCACAGCAAGAGAAAATGATACAGGAAATAAACGAAATGATTGATGTTCCTTTTATTCAACAGCAAGCAGAGAATGGTGCTTTAGACTTTCTGGTAAGATCAATTTTACAAAACTCACAAACTTGCGTACTCGGAAGAACTTAAAATAATTATTTTCTGCATTTATCTTCCTATTATAGGGGTATGCACAGCATATAATAAATGTCATGGGAAGAATTTGTGCCCCAGCCAGAGACGAAAACATTCAAAAGTTGAAAGAAATCTCAGATCCTATTGATATTTTTAAGGGTGTTTTTGAGGTGAGTGCAGGTTAGTGAGACATATTCCCATGCCATATGGCTTGATATATTTCATCATATCTCCTTGCTCTGTTTCAGACACTTACTCTCATGAGGCTGGATTTTGCAAATTTTGGTATTCAAATGCTGCGAACTAATATAATGGGTGAAAGTGTAGAGTATGAAAAGAAAAAATTTGCTGAGGCACTTGCTCTTCAGGGTGGAATTGGTATGTTGAAATCTTTAATCAAACTACATGTATTTTTTTTTGGTTTGTTTTTTTAAATTTTGTTCTTATTTTTCTAAACCCACGCAGACAGCCTGGTGATTACAAAAGAGTGGCTTAGGAGGCACTTAGAAAAAACACCTAATGGCTCAGAGAAAGAAATTGTACTCAATGCATATCTTGAGATGTTTGCATGGGGTCTCCCAGAAAAATTTCCAGAGGTATGAACTTTTTCAGAGCCACATACTTTACATTGAGAGATTTTCAAGATGATTATTCCGTTTTCACTGTTTCCAGACTGTTGTTATGGATTCTGCGAGGCACAGAGAGCTGGGGCAACGTCTTCACCAACTGGTAATTGCAGGCACTGTCCTACTTGTCACCTTATCAAGAGCTGCCTTACCAGCATTGCAACAGAGTACTTCCTTTAAAGAAAAGCTACTTAATGATGTTAAAATTGTCTTGCAAGATGTTAAAGATGATGAGTAAGATTTATTATTTTACTTTAATTCTTTTGCAGTATTACAATGTATTTGACTTAATATCACAAGAATATTTTTCCTTCAAGGGCGCTTAAGAACATTCTGCCGAGTGTAGCTGTTCAGGTGATCAGTATTGTGAAGACCTATACTAACCAAGGAACAGAATCCAACCAAGTTCAGCAAACAGTTTTTGTAGATGCTGCATTCGAACAGTCTCTTTCCGAATTGATTAAGGACATTCACAGACCAGACCACAATGTTCGAAGAATAGTCAGTAAGTAATCACAATATATATGCCTTTCAAACAAGTCCTCTGGATCAACATTATGTTTTTTCAATTACAGATGAGCGAACTACTGAATTTGTGTACCAGTCTCTGGCATCACTGCCTAATGTACCCAAGCAAGTACCCCCTGGAATGACCTCTCTACGACCTGAACTGCTTTCAACCACAGCCTCCATAATTCGTCTTTACAAGTACAATCTAGCAGTGTTTGGTGATTACTATTGCCAAATAATCTCAAAACTCAAGGAAGAAAATACAACGGCCTAGGCAGCTTTGGCATCCCAATGATTTTCTTCCCCCCTAACTCCATAAAAAAAGTATTAAATCTAATGTGGCCTAATAAGTTTCTATCAAGCTTCTTGTTTGCCTCAACTACAGCTGAGAAGTTTCAGAAAATTGTTATAGATACTGTATCAAACTGACCCAATGAATGCAGTTTGTATTAGCAGTCTAAATGTCAATATGGTTTTGTTCAACCTGTAAACTCACTACTATGGACTATGGAGCTATGCGTCTTTTTTATTACGCTCTTTTCTAAATGGTAGCAGTGAGTAATTGTCAATACTCTTTATAATTTTTTTTGTTGTAGAATAATATTATACTATTCTTGTTTTGTTTTTTCTAGTCTTTCACATTGTTTTATAGTAGAGTTTACTGTTTTGATTTCCTAACAGATCTTTAAAGTTTTCCATGCAATTTATGTGTGATTATGAATGTAACCACCTGTGGTGAAAACATGTACTCATTTCTACTTATAGAAATGATAATTTGTGATATTAACTGACCAACTCATAGAAATGACTATTTCATAAACCAATTAATTATAAAATAAAGTATTTTGTCTGGGACACAAGTGTTTTTTCTTCTTTTTCTCCCAAATGAGATCATCCTACTCACTGGAGCTACTAGCTTGTCTCCATGCTTTTGAAAAGACCGCCCCTTTTTGTCACTTCCCCCGCCGCAGTTCACGGCCTTCACTTAACTTCAAGATGTGTCTTCCCCTCCCTCCCCCCCCCCCCCCCCACCCGCTGTAAACCAAACCCGAAGTTGACGCGAAAATCACATCATATCGTGTCTTTGGTGAACGTTTTTCTTGACAAATCTTTATCGGAAGAGCTATCTTTTACGTTTACAAAATGGCAGATGTTTTGGACATTGAAAATGCCGAGGAATTCGAAGTCGACGATGAAGGAGACGGTAAGAACAAGAAAGCTATTTATTTTGGTTGGAGCTCAAACCGGCGTTGTGTCGTACTTGCTATGATGGTAATTTTTCCGAATAGCGGTCCACCTACTCGGGGCATATATTTGGTATCGGTAGATAGGTATTCATGAGTGCTGTGCGAACGGCAAGAATATGCGGCGCTCTTGAAGGATATCGCTGTAAATGCGTATCTACGTCTCTCACTTTTACCTCAAACAGCGCAGCCGTTTCGATGAATGTGCCAGTACCGGCCACTGACGACGTATTATTGTCTAAGGAAAAATATAAGGGGGAAGAGGTCTACTCATAGGCTTAAAATACGCTCCAAATTATTTCCTTCTATTAGTGCGGTGTAAGTGACAGGGCTGACGCACCTGCAGAAGCCGCTCAAGATGGCGCCACTGTTAAACAGCAGCCGGGCCCGGACACTTTTACCGCACAATAGAAGGGAAATATTTTGGTTCACATTTGGGGCCATGAAGTAGTCCTCCTCCCCCCTTATATTTTTCTTAGACAATAATACGTCGTCAGTGGCCGGTACTGGCACATTCATCGAAACGGCTGCTCTGTTTGAGGTTAAAGTGAGAGACGTAGATACGCATTTACAGCGATATCCTTCAAGAGCGCCGCATATTTCTTGCCGTTTCGCACAGCACTCATGAATACCTATCTACCGATACCAAATATATGCCCCGAGTAGGTGGAGCCGCTATTCGGAATAATTACCGCTATGATATCATCTTCAGTTTATTGTCAAAAGATTATTTACTTCATTTCACTGGAAACGTGCAACTTCTTAACCTCGACTTCGTGTTTACTTTCGCGTAACCTTATCAATCCATGTCGTGTCAGGCTCTTGTTTATGTGCCTTTGAGGTTAGGTAGTTGCCTGCATAACCCTGACTACCTGTGATCTGTCTTGTTTTTACAGAGGGTATTGCCCGCATGAAGGGGCGAGTCCGTAAGCGCAAGGGCCGTGGCTTTGGGCAAGAGAATTCTGCCAGGGAAGATATCCGCAACTATGAAACAATGGAAACTGATGATGACGATGGAGAACCAGGACCGCAGAGATGTGAGTTAATCATCAATTTATTTTCCGCATTATTGCTGAGAATTTCTTTTTATTTGCTGTGTATGTGACAATATACAGTACTATGGTGACCATATTTGCATTGGTGATTTTGAACAAAGTTGTCTTGTTTTCTTTCATAGCGGTGGAAGGTTGGATTCTATTTGTGACCTCCGTTCATGAGGAGGCACAAGAGGATGACATCCATGATAAGTTTTCTGAATTTGGTGAAATCAAAAATATTCACCTTAATCTGGATCGCCGAACTGGCTTCCTCAAGGTATCATCTTGCTCTAGTTTATCATGCCTTAACTAGTTGATAAGCTGTGTTTTAATTCTTCTATTCATTCGTTATTTGTAGGGCTACTCTTTGGTGGAATTCCAAACATACAAGGAGGCAGCAGCTGCTCGTGAAGCTTTGGATGGCTCAGATATTTTGGGTCAAAAAATAAATGTTGACTGGTGCTTTGTCAAAGGACCAAAGAGGTAAATTGCATTTTTCTATTGTCATTGATAGTGAATATTTTATCTTGCTTGGTTTTCATTGTTTTCATGTACGTCTATTTTATCTAGGTCAAAGAGCTCTTCTAGAAGGAGGCGCTAAGATTTTAGCTCCAACCAGCCCTTGTAAGTTAAGATATTTCAAAGAAGAATTGTATTACTCTCTTCATTATTTCAGTGTAGCCATTTTACTGCGGACGTATTGGTTTCACTCCAGAATATGTTTTAAGTCATGTCACAATCTGATAAGGATAAGGATTTGTTTTTCTCTTCAAGTAAAAAATTAAATACTTTGTAACAAAGTCAATAGGTTTTATTTACTTGCAAAATCACATAACCCCTTGTAATTTACAATAAGTCAACAAAAGCAACAATTGTTGAAAGCTAAATGTACATGAGAAGTGTTGAGATTCATAACCACAGCGCATTGTTTCAATGTACATAGATGACGTAGATGAGGACACTCTCAAAAACTGTTACTTTAAGTTCAAACGATTCACTTATTATGCGGGAAAGGTGCAATTAGAAAAAATAGCTTAGTGGCTTCAACCAAGGGAGTACTTTTTTTTTTATAAATTTTTCTGAGTTTCTTTAACCCTAGAAGTAAAAGGCAGTGTGGCAGCCCAGGTCCAAGCAAATTTAGGGCCAAACCAACGTATGATTTTCAGAAAGCACATGGTGATCAAGGGGTGCACCTAGTTGTGACTCAAGTGACCAGAAGTAACCCTGTCATGAACGGCTAATTAATTTTTTCTAATCCACATACAGCAAACCCAAGCAGTAATTGATAGCAGTATGAAAAGACAAGAAAGCTCATCTGGCTTGATAGAAGGGGTGATCTCAGGCTACCATGTTCAGTTGATCAGAGAAATATAGATAGAATGCTGGTCTATTCAAAATAAGTACACAAATATGGCAAAAGAAAATATTTTGACAAAGGAATTAAATAGCTCTTTAAAATCCATTTAATATTAGATATGTAAATGAAACTGTTAGCACTAAACCCAGATCCATATGACCCAAAATCATACATTCGTTCAGTCCATTCAAAATGCCTCCAGTACTGTAAGATATTCTAAGTGGGTGACCATCTCACATCATACTGTCCTATAAATCAATATTAGTATGAAACACTTAGCTGCCTTGGTACACAGAACACTCGGGAGTGCCATAAGGTACAATCCCTGACAATGATTTATGGTCGGTAGATCAAAGTTTGTGCATCATGTTCCAGCCTGATATTGAAGTCCTTGCAATTATTTACATATTACAGTAGGTTTTAAGACATAATTTTCAACATTGTGCTGCTGCTCTTCTTCGTTTAAACTAATAGGCAGGAAGAAGAAAAGAAGGAAGAATGGATGGAATGTCTGATTTTCCTCCAAAAGACGAGAGGGGAGGACATGGACTTGGATGACAGTCTAGAAAGCACAGCATTTTCTAGGAAAGGCAGAACCATCCTAACCTAGTGGATTTAATCGAATAACTATCTTCACCGGTCCCATTTTTCTTTGGTAAGTCTTAATTTGATGCTTTAATTAAATAATTTTTGTTTTAAATTATTTTAAGTGGAATACAAACACTTTAACAAAGTCTCCACAAGCTTCAGGCTCTTCATAATGTTACACAGAGCTCAAGACTTTCCTTACATCATGTTCCAATACGACACATTTACCTAGCGATGCCTGATTTCAAATGCCATCACAAAACACATCAGCGGACCAATTCACAATTAAATGTACAAATTTTCTTAATGCTTTCTTCAAGGTAAGGTCAAGTTCTGAGAGGATACTTGAAATAAGACAAGGGCCGCATTGAATATTAGTTGGCAGGAGATGTCGACTGGTGAGACTAATTATCCACATTCCCCGCTAACAAACAAAAGGGATGAAAAATAGCGATAGTCTCAATGTGTCTATTTGGTACAAAGCATTTCACTAGCTTTCAAGCCCAAGCCAGTGTTACAACTCAACTACTTGGTCTTCTGGGTGGAACTAGGTCATAGGTATTACATTAAAGAAATTATTCAAAAAGAAAAATGCAAACTACAAAGAGTAATCACATACATAGCATAGTATCATAAGTCCATCATTGAAGAGGAATGTACATGTTCCCACAGAAGCCAACAGAGTGATGTCTGTGATTGGGACAAGAATTCTTTTCCTGGAAACAAATTCAATTACATCTTAGGTCAAATTATTGTTCATAGAACATTATTTTTCTTCAGACACAATAGGATTTACTCCATTGCAAATATCTGAAAAATAAATTCCTGAATCAAATACAGAAAAAGTGAGTGTTATGAAATAACTAGTGCATTTTACAGAATCTCGAACATCTTGAGAAACAAACAAAAAGACAGACATTGCTCACAATTATTAAACATAGCCTACATCTACCAAATTAAAAAATAAAATGGAATAATCAAAATCTTCGTTTTACTAATGGTAAGAGTGATAGTTAGGCCACTCAACAGATGATTCATGGGTTCATGAGCTCATGACAAGGAAGATACTACCTTTCACCAGCGCCATAAGCCACAAGGTCAATGATGCGAATTGCATTAACACCACAGCATTTATATTTTTCTTAGAAAATGTATGGCATATTTTTAAATAACAATTTACATGATTTATAATAAAAGTGAACCTATGCATTTGGATCTCATTAATATTGACCTTACACATAAATTTAAGAGAAGAGCTAGTCACCTTTAACAAAAACAATCAAATTATGGGAACAGCATTAACAGAATGTTTTCTGAGCATAATTTCATTAAGTTAAACCTGGACATAAACAGAACTAGAAAACGACCATAAGCTAAAGAGAGATGTTATTCATCACTCTCCCTGGAAGGCCAAATGTTCCATATACCTTGCAGCGCAAACACCATTATATCTTATTGACTAGCACAGTAAGAGAAGTGATCGGCTTATTCAGCATCACCAAGAGAGCTTAAGAAATTTGTGTGCAGTGCTTGCCACCTAAAAGACCAACAAGCATTACTACAAGTTTAAATTAAACAATGAAGAAGATTCAGTCGTCAGGGGTACTTCAACCACTAACTTTGTCAAAGGAGTTAAAGCTGGCCTCATTCTCAAACTGACAGTATTTCCAGGGGGTAACAAATACTCAATTTAATTGCACACAGTAGGATAAAATAGAAAATTGAAGGGCAAATTGTAACCAGGAACCAGGCATTATACCAACTGATCTTTTAGGTACAGGGAGACTGAGACTAGATTGTAACTTATGTCTGTTTTACACCATTTAAAAAAACACAACAAAAACAGAGGTTTGATCGATTCCCAGTGATTGTCAGGTTTACTTATCATTATTCAAAAGACAACATGACACACAAGCACACACACGAACACACATATCATCTATGAATAAAGTCACAACAATTTGCCACCCCCTGTGCATAGATGCTTGATTAGTACAGAGTACTAGCTGTCAGAATGTTTCATCTCATGAGAAACTAGGCAGAAATGATAAAAACGTGAATAATATTTAAAGTGCAACTTACAAACTATGCCCTACGCCCTTAAAAAAAATCATTTTAGAAAAATGTACAACAGTTTATACAATGTTTGTCTCCATAAATCGCAACAAGATTACCCGTTGTGTGCCATACATAGCACTGGATGAGCAAATGATACCATTTATAAAGGACAAAATTCCTTTCAAAAGGACATTATTACAATGAAACCCCTAACAGCTTCAACTACTTAGTATGGAATGTCTTAAGTAACATAGAATTTGCTATTAAGGGTCGCAATTGTATAATGAAATGTAGAGAATGGCAACTTGAGTAACCCCTAATAAAATATCACTAAATGATTTATGCATGGTTTAAAAGCCACCTCTTAGTAGCTGGTAATGCTCAAAACTGGTGTGCGCTGCTTTTAAGAACTTCTCTCAAAGACAGAAGAAAGGATAAAACCAAAGTAAATTTAGTTAACAGATTTACTTTCTTCCACTGGATGAACAATTGTACAACCGAAAAAGTGAAATTTTGAGGCCAATTCATTTTTCATTATTATTTAAAGAGTTTAAGTTTGCCATTTTCTTTCTATCATTACTTCATATGACCCTTCCAAAGGATCTTAAAGTAAGCCGCAGTTTGAAAAAATATATGAAAAGCGACATCTGGAGGAGAAAGAATTTGATACTGATCAATAATTACAATACCTCAAGGGAAAACTTGCAAATTCAATCACCCACAATTAAGATCAAGAAAAAATTTACAAAAACCAAAAAAATATACAATAATAATTTGATTTCATTATGCTTATATCTACAATGAGCCCCCACGGGCCATCACACTCATATATACTTCAACATATAGAAACAAGTTGTTCATGCACGCTTATCATCCATGGGAAGAAACAACATAGGAGACATACTCACTGGAATCTATTCTAGCCATGCCAATGCCATAGCAACTAGGTCTTCAAGCAAGCAACACCAGAAAGAAACCATCACGTCTGTTATTTGACAAGTTGCCTAAGTTTCAAAATATTGCTCGAGAAACCATGGAAAAAAAGGGATTTGGTAGCAAATCTTAACCACAAACCAAGGCATTACAAGTATAATAAAATTATGGTATAATAATAATTATTATTATAGTTATTATAATTTGGGGGTTTTCAAATTATCCAGCATCCTGAACCAAACAAACTGAACAAACACCAAGATTCCAATAAAATCCTTTATTTCATTTTTTTCCCAGTCTGTAAACAACTTTTTAAAGATCTCAACTCATTTGTAACTACTGTTACAGGCGTGTAGTCAATTTTAAGAATGTGATGCCACAAAGTTTTAACACAGAAAAACAATGGAATGTGGTTGTTGCTCAAGTTGTATTAACAATAACAATGGCAGGCTTCACTTCCTTGTGATGCAATGACATCTGAAATTAAACCTGTAAATATTCAGCTCTTGTAAGGTTCAAAACTCATCAAACCCCAAATTCTCATTATAAGTAAAACATCTGTATTTCTAAGTGGAACGGCATAAATGAGTAAACTCTGTTCATGCAAGCACTTGGCTAACGGTCATAAGTGTGCCTTTAACTTCTTATTAAAATGGTCCATGGCAACTTGCTTCATATCTCTTACCATTTGCGAGACAGACATGTTTGTGCGCTGCTTTAAAACTAAACAAGCAAGTTTCCTAGCTCACCTCAAGTACATGACTTAATCACACTGATCAAAGAGAAGTAAGGGTGAAATATTATTGTCTTTGAGACCACACTCAAAATTAACAGGAAGGCCAAACACATGGACTTCAATGCTCACATCCGCTTTCCCCATCTACACAGGTAGGGTGCAACAACATCAACAACAACAACTGGATATAAAACCAAGAGTGAAAAATTAAGCACAAATATTACGCAATTCAAATAAGGAGGGAGTAAAGGATTTTGAGCAAAGAAGTGGTGTCAAGGCACCGGCGAGTGAGGTATCAGAAAAATCACCCATTATCCTTGAAATGACAATGAATTGGACTTGTGCGGCCTGTGCAACCCATGCAATAGGGGTTGGGTAGCTCCAAGGTCCTTCATATGAGTCTCTTTCACACCAATGACCACAACTCTATCATTTGTTTGACTAGGCACACTTTGTACTAAAACTCTTTGCAAATTTACACTTAAGTGGGATAAAATCACAGAGGTGAACACTGACATGACTAACAAGAACTCATTTGGAATGACAGTACAAAGATTTCAGCAACACTTATGACTGTTTACACAAGAGCTGCAAAACTCAATAAACCCTGACATCAGCGGCGAGTTGGGACTGCAAGAGTCACAGAAGAGCAAATGATGCTATTGACCCTACACAACTAGAGTATTTGATTGAATAGTTCCCCATGATTTTGCTGCAGGTAACAACTCACACATTCACAGTGACAGCCCGCTTTTAATGCATTCTTCAATATGATAACATTAGCTGCTAGTTGAAGCCATTGGAGAAACTGGACTTAGAGGACTGCGACTTCGAGAATCTCGAAGACAACCATTAATAGTGACCACAACTTTCCGAGATCCTGCATGGTCGCGATGTTCACAAAGCCAGATGCCTTGCCATGTTCCCACATTCAGCTTGCCTTCAGTGATGGGGATGGAGAGTGATGACCCAAGGAAGCATGCTTTGACGTGTGCAGGCTAGAACAAACAAAAAACAGTCACAGATTACCTAAAAATATAAGGATGGGAGAGTAACATATAGTTCAGAGGCAACATGGACTCACCATGTCATCGGGCCCTTCACATGAATGCCGGTATGGCAAACCCTGGAATTCAGAACAAAGCAATTTAGTTTGAGTAGAAAGGGAAGAAAATATTTAGACCTACTATGTTCCATACAAATAGTGCGAATGAATAATCTTGTTTCCCATCAAGGTAGCCCTTCCAGCTCAAGACAAGATAAAACTTGAATTATAGGCGCAGGTATTGGTTTTAATAGTGAAACTTGAGGCAAAGTTTTAAACTAAAGTGATAAATTTTGAAGAAATAAAACTCATGTATGTTTGGTATTGGTGTCATATCTGAAAATCTAGACAAAAGGAGCAAGAAGCATCGACTACCAGTGCATTACTAACGCAACCAAGTGTCATGTAAATAAAATATCATAACACCTCTAAGATGACAGGAAGCAAGTTAACGAAGCCTCATTATTCCAGTAAATGCCAAGATTACCAATATACACTGGGTTTGAGGCTGCTTTGAAAAACAAAAAATGTTGATTTAAGTAAAAACCTACAAAGATCATACTAACATATTGTACAAGAAATTTAAAGGAGTAAGGTATACTGTAAAAATAGAGGATGACTTTCCATTGCAACTAAAGAATGATTTTACCCAAAAATTTATACAGATAGCCGATAGGGGAAAAGAAATTTGATTGGGAGGTCATGTACTAATTAAAACATTGAATCCAATATCATTTTCTAATCCACATGTTTATATGTTAGCAATACTACAAGGCAATGAAATAAACAAATGAGTGAATGAATGAATTAATGAATGAATGAAGGTGGAACCTACACACAAAGTTCAGATGAATCTAGAATGTGGTTAACTTAAGACTATGAGGATCTGTTTGGTCACAAGACTTTATGACAGCATATGTTGATAGAACACGAATCAAATCAATCTTATCAACACTCATATTCTTGTGATTCAAACAAATCCTCTCATAAAGGACTATTAAAGAAATAAGGAAAGAGATAAAAAGCTCTCACCTCAGGCACTATTTTATTCAACATCATTTCCATGTCATCCCTGTAAATATACGTGCAAAAATTATTAGGTGATACACAGTTTGTACAGTATATGATGGGTTAGTAGGAAGGATCACTACAGCCTGCATTGTGAATACATTCTACAAAACTACATAAGTATAACAGTTAATACCACAGTTCTACTGGGCTCCACTGATAACTAATAATAAATAATTGGAGTCTTCTGAGAACAATAATGCTATCATAGGGCAGCTTGAAACATTAAAAATAACGTACCGAACATCGGGATCCCAGCTTTCATTTAAAGCTAAACTTGCTGACGTGTGAAGAACTGAAACAGAAAGCATAGCAAGATGTAACTAACTATAATATCAAGAATTATTAGATTGAAAAACATGTAGACTTTAGGTATAACTAGATTACAGCTATCAAATTAGAGGGAGGTAAACAAAAAGTTGAATGAAATAAATGTGGGACATGTGTGCATTCTACATGTAAACAATGATGATAATTAAAGGCCATGACTACCTTGAGGGGCCTACTTAAATTCAATTTTTTTATTTAAAAGGAATTTTATTGAAGAAGAAATTCCTTAAGTTATCATGAATAGAGAATGGAAAAGAAAGTTGAAGAGTCATCAATGAGAACTGTCAATGTTATTACAAAAAAAGGTTAAGTGTTTAGAAACTTCAACATTTAATCTAAAATTCTAAGTTGATTAAGGTGATTAAATATTTACAAATTTAATAAACTCGCAAAGGGCGAAACACATTGATAAAAATTGGGTGCAGCATAGCAAAACAGTAAATCCTTGAAACTAGCTCACACCTAACCTAAGTGACCCCTCGTCGCCCATACTTACTTTGGACATGAAACAAGCCCACGGAAAACTGGCCTATTTCTGGCATTTGACGGAGAATTTCCTCCGTGACTAGATGGACTCCTCTATGTTGTGGCCTTAAATTTATTTTCCGTTGGAACCAAGCGGATCCAATCTGGATCCCTCGGTTGGACGAAGCCATATTGTTGGTGAACACAAGTGGTGAGCGAACTGTCACACTGCAGTTTTAGTTACACAGTGACATAACTGAATCTTGCACGTGGCGTCACATCTGCCTCGTTGGCATTATCTCTTCACCCGACGGCCTCGATTTTCCTCGCTTCAGCAGAGAGTTTTTCCATTCCGCCACCTTCAATTCAGGGGGCGAACTCACCAAAGTCGATAAGCCTACTTTCAGCACCCACAAGCCGCACAGCAGGTTGGCCAACACTTCACGTTGCTGAAAAATGCGTCCTTTTTGAGAAATTAGGGGTCTTCGGTGTGCTTTTGGGTCACAGAAAAGGAGCGCTGTGTTTTTCTGGCCGAAAGTCTTGGATTAAATGTGGGAAGTGACGTAAACATGTTTTTTTGTCTGATTGCCCAGCCTGATCGTACCCCGCGCCCATTCGAAAGGAAGCGCTAAACACGAACTGCCCCAAAAGTGAAAATGAGCATTCCTGCTCATAACTTGTCAATGCTCCCACAACAATCGATAAAAACCTAAAGAACGACCAAGCCTTTATTCAAATGGCAGCCTTGGGTGAAAATTCATCTCTTAACACTGACTGGACGAGGTGAGGTGACTTGGATGGCGATGTGATTGTACTATATTTATTGATGATGCAACAACTTTTTACAGGTGGGGGATGGGTTGGGATGAACGGATGGACGTCGTCCGTCCTTCGTCACCGCGCCGCCTCGGCGTTGGCGGGGGCGTTGCGGACGAGGGTCACGGCGCTGCGCTTGGCGGCCACGACGACGGCGTCCTGGAGGGCGTCCTGGACGGCGCCGTGCTCGCCCACAGGGTGCACCTCGAAGTCCAGGCCCAGTCGGCCGGCGTGGGGCGGCAGGCGTAGCGCCACCAGGTCGCCGCCGGCGCGGCTCTCGTCCTGGCCGTCGCCCACGGGGGCGTGCTGGCGGAGGTCGGGCGCGTCCACGGACAGCGAGCGGACGGCGAGCTGGACGTCGGCCGTCTCGGCGTCCTCGGGGAGGGCCTCGGGGAGCGCGCTCACGCAGCTCACGCGCAGCCTCCACGCACGGCAGTCCTCGGGGGAGCCGGCCAGCCACGCCCGCAGCTGGAACAAACCGAGTTGAAAGTCCTGCGGAGTCGTTGCCGCCGCTGTCTCTCTCGCACCTGTACGGAGCGCTCCATGACTGCGAGAGAGACAGCGCCGAAAACGACTCTCCGGAATCAGTCTGCGGGCCCTGCAGTGATCCACGACCACAGAGAGGGCGAACCCACCCCGCCCCGCCCCGCCCCTTACCGTGTCGTGGGCGTCCGGGCCGTCGGCGTCCTGGCGCCGCGTGTCCACGAAGAGCTCCCGGGGCTGCCCGGCCAGGTCGGGCAGCTGCACGCACAGGGGGCCGGGCAGGGGGAGGGCCACCTCGCAGTGGGACCGGAACGCCAGCAGCAGCGGGCCGCCGTGCGCGCGCCCGTGCGAGACGAGCCTGGAGAAGAAGGGCAACATCTTGGTCCAGCAGGCACTGTGGGGTGTTCCGCGAGGGTGCGAGAGAGACAGACTGACCTGGCCGTGGGCAGGCGCAGCGTGCATGTCGCGGACCACGGGCAGCGGAACAGCGACTCGGCCTGCTCCGCCTCGAACAGGCTCTCCAGGGAGCTGTGGCAGGACGCGGGCCGCTGGGAGGAGCCTGCGAGGGACATCAACGTGAATCGAGCTGACTTACAGTGGGGGCGCTGTGGAGACTGATTCCGAGAGTCGTTTCCATCGCTCTGTCTCTCTCGCACTCATGGGGCGTTGCGTACAGGTGCGAGAGAGACAGGCCGTCGACAACGACTACCGGGGCGGCGGGGGCGGTACTGACCCAGGGGGAAGTAGCCGGCGTCCAGCAGCCCGCTGCCGACGCGCTTGGAGCTGGCGCCGCCGGCGGCGCGGGGGACGTTGGGACTCCTGGACCCCGGCGGCGTGCCTGGTGGCCCGGGCATGCCCAGCACGGGGCTGGGCGGCAGGGACGCCGGCGGCGACGACGGGCAGCCGTCAGCCTCCCGGTTGATCTCGGACGTGGACAGGGACTTGACCTGACGAAGACATCAAAAAGAGGTACGTTGCAGTGCCCGGCTGTTGACTGATTCCAAGAGTTGTTTCCGTCGCTTTGTCTCTCTCGCACTCATGGGACGGAGAGACGGAGCGACGGAAGCGACTCTGCAGCACGGCGAGGACCTCGTGGTGCACCACGCCCACCTTGAGCTGCGGCCCGAAGTCCGGCGTGATGGACAGGTGGCGGGGCACGGCGGACAGGCGGACCGGCTCGTCGTCGGTGGTGGCGAGGTTCGTCAGGGAGGACGACTTGCCCAGCAGCTTGGTGAGGAACTTGTTGGCCGGGCTGGCGGACGGCGTGAAGCTCACCTGCGCAGCGGGGTGCGTGATGAGCGAGACGACACGCCACTGGAAGTGCCAAGACACGTGGCCGAGCTCACCTTGACCTCGGGGGTGGCGGTGGCCGTCTTCTTCTTGCGGATGGAGCCCAGCAGCATGAGCTTCTGCCGCAGCTTGTCGGACTGCTCCTCGCGGGGCGCGGCGGCCACGTTGAACGTGTCCGTCAGCGCCAGGAACACCTGGTCGGCGAGCAGGGAGCGGCCCCGGCACAGGCGCACCCTGCACACGGGGCAGCGCTCGGCGCGCGCGCGGCACCCCGCGCACATGAGGTGGCCGTTGCCGCACTGGTGGGCCGGCGGGGGGATGGTGTCCAGGCAGACGGGGCACTCCAGGGAGCCCAGCACGGCGCCCAGGCACGTCGACAGCCGCTTGAGGGAGACGGGCATGGGGCCGCAGCACAGCGCCTGCGGCACGACGAGAGGGTCATGACGACGTACCTGCGGGCGTAACCCCCGCGTCGCGACACGACGCGCAACAGGTTTCTTGCTGTTTTGCACAGCAGACTCATTCCGACAGTCGTTTTCGTCGCTCTGCCTCGCACTCGTGGGGCGTCCCATGAAGGTGCGAGAGAGACAGAGAGACTCTGCGCAGTGGCCTGCAGCGCGGTGACCGCATTAGCGACCACGCGACAACAGGCGGGATGAACCGAACCAAAACAAACAGGTGAACCAGAACCAGACGCGGGGCCGACGGCACCGGCACCGGGCCTTCCCCAAGCTGTTCGGCGCGGCTGCAACCCGAAAGGGCGCCGCGTTGTAGTCATACGCACCTCGGGGTCGCAGGTCTCGTCGGCGCCGCAGTTCCACACGAGCAGCGTGGCGCAGTCGGGCCGCGAGCGCACCCTGGCGGCGATCTCGCTAATCTTCTGGCCCACCACGTCCTCGCCGTTCACTTCCAGGACGCAGTCGCCGACCTGCGCCAATAAAATAGGATGAAATAAAGGGCGGCTTGATTATGCTGCAGGAATGCGAGCGGCGGCCGGCCGGCCGGCACACTGCCTCCGGCTCTGTCTCTCTCGCACTCACGGGGCGTTCCGGAGGGGTGCGAGGGAGACGGCACGACGAGGGCACTCTGCCGGCCATCGGCCCCGCGATGCACAACGTGCTCGGCGGCGTGGACGCGGGGACGCCTACCTGCAGCCCCGCCTGCTGGGCGGCCGAACCGGTCTCCACGACGCTGACCCAGGGGTAGGGGTCCCACTTGGTCCTGGACAGGTGGAAGCCGCAGTTGCCCGACGGCGGCCTCGCGATCTCGCAGAATCGCACCGCCGGGGCGTAGTGCTCGTCCTGGCCGTCCGCCTCCGACGTGCACGTCGACAACGTCGACAACGTCGACATGGCGCGGCTGGGCTCGGCACGGCGGCGCGCGGGGCCGCCGCAGCGCTGCTCGCCTCGGACACTCTGTAAGCGACAGGTCCTGGAGTTAGTCCACCGGCACACTGGCGTCGAGGGCGATGGAAGAAAGGCAGCGATGGTGTTCCTCCTGTAGACTGGTTCGGAAGAGTCAGAGGCAGAGATGAAACCCCGACACCGAAAACCCCTGCGAGTGGCGCGTAGGCACGCCCGCAACACAGACATGCCGCGGGGTTGCCTACCCGGACTCCGTAAGGCGCTCCTCGCCGGCCCATTCCTCGAAAAGAAAGAGAGGTCCCACCGAGACTTGAACTCGGATCGCAGGATTCAGAGTCCTGAGTGCTAACCATTACACCATGGAACCCGCCGAGCGGAGTGGGTGGTCGGCGGCGGCCTTTACATGCGGGGGATGGGCCGGGCCTTGGGCCGGGCGCAGCGCGCCGCGCGCAGGCGCCGCTCCCCGAGGGGGTGGCGTACCGCCCCTACCGCCTGGCCCGCCGCCTGGCCCGCCGCCTGCGTTGCGCTGCGGCGGTTGGCAGGCCTGAGTGGATGGAGTGTGCAGCAGTGCGCCGCGCCACCAGCATGCTGCCAGCACCAGCCGCGCTAGGTGCCTCGTGCGCCTCGTGCCTTCAACAAGGCCTGGCCTTTTATTGATTTGGGGAGCTGCCACCGCCGCCACGCCGTGCACGCCACGCCTGCCGCGCCACTGCCGTCGTGGAGGCCGTGCTGGCCGTGCTGCACCACTACGTCCTTTGCCGCAGTGGCCACGCTGTCCCTGCGCTGTCCTCGGCGTCCGCGACGCCGGCGGACACAGCGGGGCGGCGCCGGGACAGCGCCGGCCTGGCGGATGCAGCGGGCGGAATCCGCGAGTCGGAGACCGCGCCAATTCCGGGATTAGGGAAGTCAGGGAAGTGCCTGGCGGCCGGACGGGGCACGGCTTGGGGGACGGGGCGAGGCCGGCGGGGTGCCACGCCGGCGCGTCGGCGGCGGCGGCGGACTGGATCTGGTTAGAACTGGAATCATCTTGTAGGGGTGGGCATCACGGTCGCCACGGCGTTCACGGGGTGGCGGCGCTTCTTTCTGGTGGCGTAGCGCAGTGCCGCGCCGTGCGTCTACCCCTGGCCGCCCCCCGCCCGCCCCCCGCGGAACTCACGAGCATCGGCACTCGTTAGCACGAGGGGTGTACCGGCCTCACGGGCCGCGCGGTCTCGAGTGGCGGCAGACTGACTCCGAAAGGCGTTCCTGTCTCTCTCGCACCGAGTGCCGCGGCGCCGCACGAGTGCGAGAGAGACAGAGCGCCTCTCGGATTCGGCCTGCGGACGCTGCGGACGCGCAGGAGAGCGGCACGGGGGCACTCGACGGGCGCGCTGGGACGGCGCCATTCGCCGTAGTTTCGGCGGAGTTTTGTCGCTCTGTCTCCCTGAAGGGCCGCCGTATGAGTGCGAGAGAGACAGAACGGGTGCCAGGCCACTTACGGCCCCAATCAGCACACGGAGGAGACGAGGAAACCAACGCCAGCGAGGGCAAGCAGTGCCTCAAGTTCCCGGACGAGTCCTGGACCTCCACTAAACGGCCCGGCGGTAGGCACGAGAGAAGTGTTGCCATAGGCCATCCGGGCCATTTGGGCCAATCGCATTTCGCATTGCCGCCGGGAGCGGTGACCTGCAGACATGCCGCGCACTGCGGCCGTCTCTCTGTCTCTCTCGCACCTGCGCGTGACGCCCCATGAGTGCGAGAGAGACAGAGCGACGGTCGCACTGCGCGCGGAATCACCCTGCTGAATGGGCGCCGCTCCCAGCAAGCTCCAGGCCGCTCCAGTCCAGGAAGCGATTGCAATGTGTGTGTGTGCGTGTGTGATGCTGGGCGGTGCGGCTGGAGAGTTGGAGGGGAGGGTGGGTGTCTCTGGAGCCAGACGGTACCTTAGTGACCTTGCCGCTACGCCCCACTCCCCCTTCTCTCTGCCCCCTCCCCCCCTCCTTCCCCGCCCGCCAACCGCGCCGTCCGAAACGTGGGTCCGTCTTGCCCTGTCACCCTTCGCTTCGGGCCCCTTCGCCGTCGGGCGCCTTAGGGCCTGTCTGCCTTCCGGGGCCTGCCGGCCTGCCGGCCTGCCCCGCCGCATCGACCGGTCTCAAACGTACTTTCCGGCGCTGCTAAATTGTCCTGAATAGTAGTCCACTGCCCACCGCAGTTACCTCGCCTCTCGTCCGCCCGGGCCGCGCGCGCACTCACACTCACACACTCTCTCACACACACTCGCGACAGAGTAAAAACACGAATTATCGTGCTGCAGCGCATGCGGGTCGGTGTCCAAGAAGCGCATCGAGACGTCTACTGCGCACACACACACACACACACACACACACGACACACAGTGGGTGAAGGCCCACTATTTCTTTTGGTGGTTGCGCGGCGTAACGCAGTCCTCCAGAGTCCAGTCGCCGCGCTGCGGTGCTGAGGACGCCTACCCGCGCCCACCGCAAACTCGCGGTGAGGTGAGGCCTTCCGGAGACGTTGTTGTCGGCAATAGGAGCTAATGAAGAGGCTTCAATGAAATGACGGCAGGCGGGCGGTTTGGAGTATAAAACGACTAGTCTTCGCAAGTGGTCGTAGTTTGGCGTCTGCCGCGGACTCTGCCCCGTCGAAGCCGCCGTCCCCTGCAGGCTCGTTTCGTCGAAGTGTCTCCGTCGCACTCATGGGGCGCCCCATGCGGGAGAGACAGCGTCAGCTGGTACTTCCCTCCCGGCCGGTCGACAGCCAAATCCACTCGACGCTGCCCTCTGCCTGGTGTGCCAGCAGACTGACGTGATTCCGAGGAGCACTAGCACTGCTGCTCGTCGCTCTGTCTCTCTCGCACTCATGGGGTGCGAGAGAGACAGCGCCCGGCCGGGTAACAACTCACCGCGAGATCAGAGCACTGGTGCCGAAGTCGGCGTCGCGGCGGTCGGGACGCGGTACTCGCGAGTCGGCTCGCGGTCCACTGTGGCGGTCGGAATCGAAACGACTGAGGGCCAAGAGGCAGGCAGACCACACGGTGGCGGCCGGGTCGGACGACTGTCGGCCTGTCCTGTCGGTGTCTGCAGGCAGGACCACTCGGCCACTCGGCACGCTGCGTCCGCCTTCCTTCCCTCTCTCTCGCTCCGCTCTCCATCTCCACTCTGCAGAGCAGGCAGAGCATGCTCTTTCCTTCCGGGCACGTCTGCAGCGCGAGCACGGCGCAGCGGCCGGCCGGGCTGGCGTAGCCTGGCGTACGCCACGGAGCCACGGCCGCACGCCTACCGCCGCCACGCCGCGCCACGCCGCGGACCACCTCAAGGCCCTCAAGGTGACGACGGCGACGGCGGAGCGCGGAGGTCAGCGACACCACACCAACGAGTCCGAGATGCTGCAGCCCGATTCCGAGAGTCGTGTTGGTCGCTCGCTCGCACTCACGGGGCGTCCCGTGTGGGCATGGGCGCGAGAGAGAGACAGAGCGACGACGCTCGCAGTCTGGCTGCTGCGCGACGCGATGCGTTCGAGGTGTGTCCGTCCTTGTCGCTCCGCTCGGGCCACGACTACGCACAGGCCTTTCTGTTGCACCATATTCCGCAGGACTTGAAGTAAAAAGGAACACAAGGCAGGAAAAGAAAGGCGTTGCTGGTATTTGATCCCGCGGTCCAGGAAGGGGAGGACTAGACCAGTTTTACTGACGCCCCGCGGGGCGGGCCGGACGGATGTAGCCCGCGGCCAGCCCATTATAATAAGGTACTTCCTTATTCACAACCAAATGCTGTTCCTTACTTCCATTACACGGGACTTCCCTCGGTCGGCAAACCAGTGTAGGGGCAGGGGGCAGGGTCAAGAAACAGAGCCAACAGCTTCAGATTAGAATAGAGATCTATTTTAGAAACAATAATAGAATGAATATAAAGAAAGTACAAATACACACACACTCCGATTTTAAAACAACTCCCATTTCCAGTAACACAATTTACAGGTGTAATACTGAGCATATGAATCATAGACGTCTTGGATAAATCATGTAAAACGTAAGTCCTACTATAAGGACTCAAAACTAAAATCTATGAGTTTGGGCCACAAGGCCGCAGCAGAAAAAATTGGACAATATTTCCAAGCTTCGTTAAGACTTGGAAACATGCAATGTCTTCAATTTGCTATGTTACTTGACCACTGAAGTTGTTGAATACAGAATACACATTAACTCACATTAAAACCATACTGCTGTGTGCTGTCTTATTTACAAAAGCAATGGAAATTACTGATCTAAAAAAACATATCTCACTCATTAAGATTTCACTACCTCAGCAACTAGAAAATTTATTTAAAAATATAAAATCTTTTAACAAAGTTTGTACTAGGGTTTTCACAAATATCAACAGTCATTTAGGCAGAAATTGCTTTGGGATTACATAGCACCAATTATACAAACATCACTCAATTTGTTCACAACACAAATACAAATGGCACATTTGAAATGAGTTCTTTTTAAAAAAGAAAAGGGATCAATATAAAAAACTACATAAGATAGAACATAAAAACAATAACATAGTATAACTTATCACAAAGAGATAATTCTATATCCGTTCAAAAACGGACCCACATAATATATCTAACATCTACTTCAGCCTCTACAGCCCACATCTTTGATGGTTGCAGTAAATCACATTTTGTCTCTCTCAAATCTTTGTTAAATTGATCCAGATGGCACTGCAGTGTATTAACAGGTTAAAATATAGTACAGCAAGAGGGTGAGGAACCACTTGCCCTTTAACAACCTAACTTCTATTCTCAGTTTGAATATCAAGTATAAATACTATTCAATCTAATTTATACATGCCCATAACTGTCTATGAGGGCCTCACCAAAGTGTGTTACAACATAGTCGTGGTAGTACATCATAATGCAAAGTGGCTGTCCCAGAATCAACGATGCCCAAACAGTCATATTGCCCCATCTTGGCCCCAATCGCTTTTCCACCCAGCGAGAAATCAGCGACAATGGTACCTGTGACAGTTTAAAAATTAGCAGTTAGGACATTTAAAAAATATGATGGTAAAAATTTGCATGAATAACAAACAGCTAACCTGTCCCATCATTCCCATGAACGCCCACGTTTTGAAAGTGCGGAGGGGAACACTGACTAGAAATTCGTGGAAAAAGGCACTGATGAAAAACACAGCGATTGTGGCAGTTACTCGAGTATATCCAGCTTCAATAAGTGGTATAAATAAGTGCCTGAAATTAAGGAAGAATAATTAAAATATGCTCTACACTTGAGTTTCTTGACAGCATAAGAATAAACAAAGTAGCTGACTGTGTTTACCTCACAGCCCAGCGGTGAACAGGCATGTTCCAACTACGCCAAAATGTATCAATGTTGTTAGAATTCCACCAATCCAAGTAGAAGTTTCGATCCGCAAAGTGCAACAGTTCACCCATCAAGTTCAACCAAGAGTGGAAAGTGAGATAGAAGAAACACAACCACACTAGATGGTTTGGAATCTGGAAAAGAGAAGAGTAAGACGATTCAGTACAAGAACAAGGGCCAAACACTCCAGGTCGGGTCACAGTAAAATGTGTGCTCACTGCAAGTTTCAGTAGGCGCTCAACAGCTTTGGCAGCTTCCATATTCTGTAAAGAAAATAACAAATTAGGCTCTGGAAAGAGAGATACCAACAGTCAATAATTCACTTGGCGCACTTACAGAGAAAGGAATGAGCGAATTTTTCACAGATGGAATAATCCATTGTTGAAACAGACTCATCATTACTTGAATGCCAATCAGGACCTCTAGCAACCGCTTGATCAGAAATCTAAGGCAAAACATGCATAGTAAAAATAATAAAAATAAATATTCTAGAACAAAGCAAAACATGCACATCTAATAGATTGCTCTAAGTTGTCTTCAGCTCTTCTGGTTCTAAAATAAAATAAAAGAGATAAAACAATCTACAAGAACAAAACCCACGAAATTACCTTTTCCTTATCCGTGTTGAGCGGGGGAAGTTAAGCTCATAACAAAGAGTTGGAGCCAAAATAAAATAGTACAAGTCACGCAAACTTAGATTATCAGGGTATTGAACAGGCTTTGTAGAGGCCAAATCAGATTCTTTTTTGGGGCTTTTCTCTCCAACACCATTTGCACTTTTAGCTTGTTGACCCTGTAGTGCTGCAAAGGCAAGGAAAAAGAATTAATTACAACATGCGGATTTTCTGCTGCATTAGCCTGATAGGAAATGTGTAATCTGTACCTAGTTTTCCAACTGAAATAGATTGTCTTCGCTGGTGAGCTTTGCTAGCCGTCATCTGGCGAGTATTGCGGCACCACATATTGACTTGGACATAAGACCACAGCTTCAAGAACAGAACGCTGTATAGCATACATACAGAAGATGCAGCAACTGAAAAAAAAACAAGATTAAATTAGAAACAGAGGGTAATCATTATAAAATGATTCATGTGGTCAAAAACTCACTGAGACTAAAGGCTTTGGCCCTCGTGTGTACAACCACCATTGGCAATAAAATATGAGTCAGAAGGTTTACAATGTGGGATGTCAATCCAAACCTGGACGTCAGGATACCCTGCAGCGAAAAAGTGTTAAATTAACAAACGTCAGCCTGTACAAAATTCATAGAACTAAAATATCTTCAACGTGATGATACCTACAGCAGCTAGACCTTTCTCAAGAAGTAAACAGATCACCACAGGAACAATAGAGTCTAAAAATTGAGACCAAAAATTAATAGGCATAGCAAAAACAAAGCAGTGAAATGGCTAGTACCAAACTTACAAAGAACAATGACGATAGTTGCAGTTTCAGGTCCTCCATCCCCAGTTATCAGCTCAAGCCACTGCTTTGGGTTCACTCGGATTCCATACCTGGAGAGCATCATAATTCGATTAGAATACTGATTCAAGCTTGGTGCTCGTCATGGACGCACTTCTCAAAATCAAATGAAGTCAACATCTACAACTTACTTGATAAAGTTTTCCAAAAGAAGACGCATGCTCCCCATGAATAGGAGGAGGAAACCCCAGTTGACAAGTCCAGCAAAGTTGTCGAACCCTGACGACCATGAGAACAGAGAGTCTCTCGGGCGATGACATCTGAAACAATAACACAAAACACAATTAGCATTCTAGAATGATCAAGTCCATGATGCAGGACGGGTATTGACTGAAAATTTCCAACGTCAGCAGGGATGCAACAGGGCATCACTCATCGTCAATATCAAGTCGAGAAAGGAGGAAGGGGACGACATTCATTCTTGAGTGACATTCGAACAACAAGCAACCCGATGACGAGGCGAAGAACCCCACCAGGCGCTGGAACCGGACCAAAGGCGCAAACGACAGTCTGCAAGGGGTGGTCCTAGGGGGGCGGGACGCAGCTCAGGCCCAGACACTGTCACCCCGGCCGCCTAACCTTACTCCGACAGAATCCGGGGACGCGCGGCCGACCGCGGCCAGGACAGCACTTCCACTTACGGCCGGTCGGGCTGGTTCTTCCGGACTTTGGTCTCCTGCTCCAGGTACTGCTCCACCTGCGTGAAACTCTTGGCTCGCCGCAGCCGCACGCGCTGGTCCTCGGAGGGGTCAGCCGTCATCTTGTGTCTCTGTCTCTGTCTGTCGCTGTCGGGGCCCGGGGCCGCGCTATGTATACACTACACTGTACACAAGCAACGCCTCCGTGACAGCGGGCAGCGAGGCGAGGCAGTTACTTGGGCTTGACAGAGCGCCGCTTGGCTCGGACTCGGACCGCAGGACGGGTAGCGTAGTCAAACTACACCACACAAACCGGGTGCGAGTGCAGCGAACAGAACAGCGAAACGAAGCGAAAGAAGGAGAAGAGCAGAGGGGCCGGAGGAGCCAGTGCCAATGCCCGGCTGACAGCGACAACGACAGCTGACTGGCCGGCCAGCCCGTCTCGTCTCTCGTCCTCGTCCCGTCCCCGTCTCGACCGGTTGCCGTTGGCGGGTTGGCCGTCCCGTCCGTTGCAGCGGCGGCGCGGCGGGGCGACCAGCGGCAAGGCAGGTGCGCGAAGCAGGCGTGGCGGGGGAGGGGGAGGGAGGGGTGCTGGAATGAATGGTTTGGTGTTTGGCGCGACCGTGGCCTCGGCCAGGTCAGGGAAGGACACGCTCCGGCACGCGTCACGCGCGAGTGTCGTGGCACGCGAGCAGCAGACTCATTCCGAGAGTCCTTTTCGTCGCTCTGTCTCTCTCGCACCTGTACGGCTCGCCCCATGAGTGCGAGAGAGACCGAGCGACGAAAGCTCTGTTCGTAATCATCCGGCAGGCAGCACCAAGCTCCCCCCCCTCAATTTTATGCCCAGTGCCCGCCTCCCCTTTTCCAGTTCCCTATCAAGCTGCCGGCCGGGCCGCTTCGAAGTATCGCTTCTTTGCCGTCTCTCCCGCTTCCACGGGACGGCCTGTGAGTACGACAGAGACAGAGCAACGAGGGAATGACTGCTGATGACGGAGGGGTCGAAAAACGGAGGCCCGTCATCCAGCGCCTCGAAAGAGCCACGCATCGGCCCTGTCCGACTGACCCTCGCAGTTTTCTTATTCAGCCCGTACGTCAATGGCGTGTCGGCGACGGCAGCCTGTCTCTCTCGCACTCACAGGGCGGCCCGCAAGGGTGCGAGAGAGACGGCGGATTCAGCCTGCAGGCCCTGCAGGGGAGGCGCCGCGGCAAAAACAGCAGCAGCAGCACTTTGTGCAGTGTGCCAGAAGCAAGCCCTGGCCGACGGGACGGACCCGTTGGACCCGGCCCGACGCAGCGACGCGGACCCGTAGAACGAGTCGCGATTAAGAGTGGCTTCGGCTTCATCTCGTCCGCGGCTATGTAAAGTCGAGCAGCGGACCGATTCCGAGAGTCGCCTTCGTCGCTCTGTCCCTCTCGCACTCGTGGGGCGTCCCGTATAGGTGCGAGGGAGACTCTCGGAATCGGTCTACAGGGCGTCCGCCGAGGCGTCCGCGCATCCGCCAAGTGCAGCAACTGCATTCCAGGGCCTTGATCCCTGCCAATCCCTGCCTCCCCGACGAGGAGGCTCGACGAGGAGCACTCGCCAAAAACACAAGTCCGCCAAGCGGGCACGCTGCAGGCGTCCCGTCTGACTCATGAGGGATTCGGGGCTCGGAGGCCGGCTGCTGATCTTTGAACTTGCGCGTCGTGTGCGTCTGGCACGGCGAAAGGGTGCCACAGCCCTATCGTCGCTCTGTCTCTCTCGCACCCGTGCGGGACAGAGCGACGAAAGCGGCCCTCGGAATCGGTCTGCAGCCTAGGCAAGGCAGGCGTCCGGAGGTCAAGAGCTAGGCGCGCTCGCTGCACGCACATCGCAGGGCCATTGGTCCTATTGGCCCTATTGGCCCGGTTGGGCAGCGGAATGTAGTTGCCACTTGAGCCGGGCGGCGGTTGAGATTACCGAGCTGCCCGATAACGGTCTAGGTGGGCGGCTAGCGCGGCTGGCGCGGCCGGCGCGGCCGGGAGGACATGCGGGTGCCCCCCCCCCCCCCCCCCGCCTCCGCCTCGTCTATTGGGAGCGGGCCGCGGCGCCGCCCGCCTATCTCCGCGTTGATTGGGAAGGTGGTGGCAATCTGGGGCCATCTGGGGATGGTTGTCACGTACCATCTAACCTGTTGCCGCTGTTTCGCTGCTTTTATGGCGGGGCTTTTTAGGCGGGGCTGTCACCAAGGGGCTCGTATCGCACGTCGCACGGCGCCGCGGTCGGCTGCGCTGCCAGCGCGGCCCGCCGAACTAACGGCCGAACGCCGAGAGGTAGGCAACACTTCGTGCTTTACCGGGCTGCGGCTGCCGGCCCGGCGGACACGGCGGTGCGAACGCGGCCTACCCGCCAGGCGTTAGGCGCTCACCCCTGCCGCAAGTTGCCGCGGAGGTTTGTCTTCGTCCCCGCGGCCCGTGGAAAAAGTTTCGGGACTAATTTGGCGCTCGCCGGCCTCGCCTTGTCGGCTGAGATGTCAGTCTCCATGACATGGGAGCCTGGTCGGCAGCCTGGTCGGCAGCCTGGTCGGCAGCCCGCTGCACCGCTTCGACTTGCTTGGCGTGGCGAAGGCGGAACACCAAACGGCGGGTGGTGGGCCTGACGGCCTGACGGCCTGACGGCCTGACAGCGACGGCCTGACTTTCGGAGCACGTGCATACGTCCAGGGAACGTGGTGCCGTCTCGTTTCTCTTATCCTGCAGCCGACTGTCACGGTCCCGGCAGCCTCCCAGTACTGATAACCCCCGCCCTTGGAATACGATATTGTGCGCCCCGATGCGCGATGCGCCCCGACGGCGGGCACCGAGACCGGCCCGGCGTAGCCCAGGCGTGCACCGGGCTACACCCGCAGCGCCTACACAGGTCCTAGGAAACACTCAACACTCACGGCCGGTCAATGCGGGACTTCCACTCCTTGGTCTCCTTCTCCTTGATCTCCTCGGCGCGCGTGAAGCTGGTGGCGCGGCGACGCACGCCGGGCTCGCCGTCCTGACCCTGGGCGCCCTGGGCGAGCGGGGAAGCCAGCGCCCCCGGGAAGGGCGGCGGCGGCGCCAGGAAGGACATGGCGGGGGCCGCGGCGATGGGGTCGCCGTTGCGGCCGAGGCGCTCCGGGGACCGCGACGCCGAGGACGCGCGGCTGCGGCTGCGCGCCGCGTGCACCACCCTCGGGGACCGCGGCGGGGACGTCGTCGGCGGCGCCATGGTGGACCGTGGTACCGGGGACCGTGGTCACGGGGGGAGGATGTCCCGCACACTGGCCGTCGGAAGGGTTCGGCACGACGACGACGAGCACGGCGACGTGCAGTACCACATGGCCCGCGCGACTTGCCGAGCCTTGCTGAACCGAACCGTGATCACCGTGATACCATCCCCCCCACCCCCGGCTCCCGCCCCGCCGGCCCGCCGCCCCGCCCCGCGGCCGTCTAGACAGGCCCGACGGCATAGAGGGGGCAAGGCATGGCATAGGCATGGCAAGGCAAGGGGGCGCAGGGCGCCGAGGGGCGATGCCATGGCGGAGTAGAGCCGGACCACGGGGCCACCTCAGCCTCGGCCCGGCCGCCCCTTCCCCTTCCCCTCCCGCTCCCCGTCACTGGACCGCGGCGTGCACTCTGCACTCGAAATCGCAAGGTTGGGATGCAACTCTAGGCGAAAACTTCCGATGCAAGATAATAGCTGAATCTGCGGAACTGGGTTTGGAGTGAGGCGGTGCCAAAGGTTTAAAAATCAAGACGCAAAGGAACTTGTTAACATTTATTTATATATATTTCTTCCTTTTATTTCTTGTCATTGCAGAGTTACATCACAGTTACTCTCAGGGCCACATTGTTGTGGGCCACAATTAATTTTTTAATTAAAAAAGAGTTTACTGTAAGAACTCTTCAAGAAACAATTTTTCTAGAATGCGACATTTTGACTGGGCCTGCCAGTCAAGATGTCAATACCTCTGGGTGCAAGCACAGCAAAACTAGTGAGCAGAAAAAATCGGACTAAGCACACCAGAGAACGTACCGGTAATCACCATTCATCACACAGTCACTCCCATAATACAAAGCAATGAGGTAATATCTATTACAGTGAGGTCAACTCGATGAAGATGATTTTCATTGTTGCTATGATGCATAGTAGTGGCATCAGCATTTGAAGGAATTGAAAATGAAAATTTGTAGGGTACTTTCTTTATGTTGCTGCTATAGAAGTGCTGCCCAAGCCTTTGCAAATTAAACCTTCTGTCAAACCCTAAAAAAGCATTTCCCGTAGAATTAAAATGAGACATTTCCTTATGCAATGGCAAAACAGAAGGGAGGCCAATAATCAAATTGTTCTTAGCAGCTGCAGTTTAGGGCAGAGACAAGCCGCCTAAAATCTGAATTAAAAACACCTACATATTTTTGAAGTGAATAGAAAGAGGAACAGGAATGCACAAGCTGTGAGTCTTACATTACAAAAATACGCGCTATTTGGACACTCCACAAACACTCTCAACACAATTAAAGAGATGACAACCCTGTGATCAAATCAGTTCAAATACTCCTCACAACTCACTTCACCCATTTAAGTTTGAGCAAAGAATAACTCAGGTAAAATAAACAAGAAGATATTTACATAATACATTCCAATGATTGGTCCACCAATACATACAGGAGAAGGGGTATTGCTCACTCGAACTGAAAAGTTTAGGAAAGATAGCAACTCTCTTTTTTCTTGAGATTTTTTTTTGAAATTATGGTTGCTTTTTCCAAAGTGTGTGCATATAATAGGCAGCAGTGTCAAAATTTACAATGGGTTTCCAAACAATTTCAGGTTTAACCACCTGCTATTGAGGCAGTAACAAATTCTGGCAAGACATTGTTTACTGGCAACAACACTGCCAATGTAAACTAAAAAATTACTGATTAATTTGCCTCAAAGCGCTTGATCTTTTCAGCCTAATCTATAAAAGCTTTCATCAGTATGTACAGATAGAGGAAACAGCATGACAGATTCCACAACAGATGTCAAGAGTTGTTAAGGAAAGCTCACATAAGATATTATGGATATGTTATGTTAAACTAAAAGGCAATGTTTCTGCAGAGCATAAGGTTTATGCACTGAAAATTTTGCTCTGAAAATCAGTTTGATCTCAGAACTTCAAAAACATAAAAAGACCACACTGAAAAAAGAAGTAAAAATAACACAAAGTAATAATTTTTCCTCCCATTGTATCAATTGTTCTACTACTATGTACACTTGGCAAATCACACCAATAGTGTCAATGAATCTTAGAATGCACTTGACCCACTGGTTGAACACAACATTTAACATTTCGACTTAGGTAATGTAAATTTGAATGTACTTGGATGAGGCTTTAACGAAGGGGTTGAGATCACAAGGTACACTATAAATATAAATTACCTCCTGGATTTGTCAAACAGGGTAGATTCAAGTAAATTAGAATTCTCTAGACATGAACATAGACACCTCCCTTAACTATTCAACTTCTATTTCCTTCAAATAGGTTTGTGCATTACTCAGAAGATTATCTTACTTCATTATGAAAGTTTTAAGTCCCCATTAAAATTTTACATTTTATAAAGAATTTCCAATGGATTAAGTTGAAACCAATTTTGGCAAAACCATGTCGGTAGGAGACTAGTGTTAGAATTTTTTTTTAGAAGAATTGCGAATTTTTAACAAGGAAACAAAATGGTATACCAGAGATGTGTCTAGTCTTGCACAGGCTGAGCCATTAGGTCGTTAGGATCCAACAAATCATCGCACCAGTCAAGCCTTTTGCAAGTAAAGATGAAGGACATTAACCTAAGCCAAAATGATTGCTATGGTGTTGGCACAGACTGTGGAGTTGATTGAAGATGCTGCAGATCTTCAATAGACTTTTTTGTAACCAATGAAATATCATCTACAGAATAAGTAACTTGCTGGAGTGATTTTTTAGTGAAGCTAATTAAGTCATCTGTGTTGTAGATAGCATTAGATGCAATTTCCTTCATTTCAGCGTGTAGTTTACCTATAACCCATTCAATGGCCTGCCTTCCCTGCAAAGTTAACACATTCATCATGCCATTAGTTAAATAACAATAGAAGAAGTGCCAAAATTAATAGAAATGGTATAAATTAAATTACCTTGCCAGCATTGACAGATATCTTGTTGGTCATGAGGTTTTCCATGTAACTCTCCAATGGCATTCCATGTACAGTCACGATAGCTTCTTGTCTTTGTAATGTTTTATTACTGTCTTCTGGGTGTGGCATGTATGTCACTGTTTCATCAACTGCCATCACACTTCCAAATGTAAGCTGAAGACAAACACAAATTAAGAGATAATGGCATTTGAAGGCTGGCACAGACACATAGTGGGATTAAAATGTACTTACATTTCTTGTCCTCAGTGTCATTTGTCTTTGTTTGGGATCAACTAATGAATACTCACTGGCGTAACAGATGTTGGTTGATCCTACAAACTGAAATTAAATGAAAATTTTCAATTAACCAGGAAAAATGTAACTTGCAGTGAGAGGACAAAAGAAAGCACACAAAACTGGGTTAACTTACCGACGCTGCCCATTTAGGAAATGGCCATTTAGAAGCTACTAGTCTATGTGAATGTAATACACCTTTAACAACTTTTCGATCGATGACATCAGTGCCTAAAACTGCAGGGTTTATAGGATTCGGATATTTTCTCCATGCGGCTTTGGCAACTGTCTCCCACGGGTGACTGAAAAATGAAATCAGACATGAGAAAACTAAGTAAATTCCTACCTTCAAAAGGATTAGCAGGGAAAGAATTACAAGTGCTGCTAATTTTTCAGTAAAATGAGATTTGCAGAAATTAATTAAAACATACTCCAAAGTGTCTTAAGGTTATGCCATAGTGCAATACAATCCTTAGTACAGATAAATCGAAAATCTCGTGATTTGAGAAAGAAAAAACAATCATTTTCCTCGGAAACTTTCCTAATGTACGAAAACTGTGCTAAAGTGACTTGGGCATTAAATGGTATTCTGTCAAGGCTTTCTGCTTGAAAGTGCGCTCACACAAATGTCACAATATGTCAAAAAACATAAACGATGAGGAAATTGAAACTGCATATCTTACTCGTAAATGTGTTCACTCTTCCAGATCTTCATGGTTACAAATTGAAAGGCGTCAAGATATATCAGAAATTTGAAGTAATTCCTACACCTATAAACTAAATTTCGTCACCACACGGGGTGGGACTCGCAGAAGGACCAAAGATCCAAGGTCGTTCTCGATTCTCAACTGTTTTGTTATGATTCACGCGTTACGTCGCCTACCGATTTTGCTGCAATTTTTTTCCAGGAGTTTGCCTTGTTTATATTTTTTTCTGGAGAGTAATTTTACTCAGATAGCAGAAAATCATTGGGAGTAGCGACGGCAATCAATTTTAAAATTGTGAGAAAACCGGGGAGGCAAAATAGGCATCGTAAATTTCTCATGGAGTAGTGGCTTCCAGCTTCCGTCCGTTCGTCCCGCCATTCGCTTTGAAACAATTGGTCGAGCCTGTTACTTTGTGACCACGGAAGTCGAAGACCTCAGGAAGAGCAAGGCCCTCACGGGATAATTTAAGTAGAGGAAATGAACATAAAGCAATGGCAGTTTACAAATTTATTTTTGTTTAACAACATTTAAAAAAAAATCACATGTCTTAGAGTAGAAAGTACAACAGCATTTTGCAGTCCAGTGGCAAAATAGGAGCTGCAAAAGCTCCAATGCCTGAGAAAGGGCAGGTATTGATGTACTCAAACAGTCTTGTAATTGGAAAAATATAACTAATGCTTAACATTTTAATTAAGTATAATAAAAATAAACAATGGTAAGAATCATACCATAGGGATCAACATTATTTATGAACTAACAGTAAGGCCACCATTACTAAATCACAAAATAATTTCCATGCTTCTGAATTTAAAAAAAATAGCAGACCTTAACTTGACCTCAGGTTATCCACTGCATAACTTAAACCAACTGGGACAGAAACACAACAATTTGGTTCTTAGGCAGATGGTCCCTGCAAACATGACAGTGGTGCACACAAAGTACCTACTCAGGTCTTCAAGCAGCAGTGTTTGAAGAGAGTGCATTCCTGAGAAAAATTGTCTCACATGATGTTCTAAAGATATAATAGTAATATAATCAAAATAAAAAATAAACTGAACATGAAGCTAAAGCAAGTTTAAACTGCAGCATTCAAGTCCGTTGACAAAATTAATTGTATGGCTGCGGCAGCACGGCAATGTCATCTGTGACACTGATGAGAGGAGTTGGAATTGCCCCAGGGGTGCAAAGCTCCACCATTTTCACCTGATTCCAATGGAACGCATTCTCTTTAAACAGTTTTGCCACCTCAGCATTGACGGCTGTTACCTGCAAAGCACAAAAGGCATAGGACTTAGTCAACCAAATAATTTGAAGAGGTGTGTGCACTTATACAAAATACGTTCATTGACAGCAATTTTACCATGAATGAAACAGGGGCTGCGTCAGTAGGGAACTCCTGTTTGACACGCTTCAATGGAGGTTCTTCTGCCGAACTCTGTTTCTCCTCCCTTTTAACTTTGACTTTACGTTTTCCATTTGAGGGTTCGGCAAGGTTTTGTTCATCTTTTTCCTTGTCTCTCTTAGGGCAAGAACAAATTTTGACCCCAATGACCTGTCTTCCTAAGACCGTACCCCTGTAATCAATTAAGAAAGTTTCAGAGGAAGTTTCAGCTAACAAAGTTACCATCTTTTGTTTCAAGTAGGTTTGAGATATATTTTAAACTATTAGCTAGCGGTTTGCAACCAACTTACTGGGCATCTTCTAGAGTGAAAACCACATCCGTGGGGGCTCGATTGAGCCCTCCAGTGCAGGAGGTCTTGCACATAAACTTGAGCGAAACCAGCGCATACTCGCACCCTGACTGAAGGTGCAGTTGCACCTTCACCGAGTGTCTCTTGGACAATGGGTCAATATAATATTCCGCTCCCTCATTCTCCATCGCTAACACATGGTCACTATGATCATACGCTAAAGACCAAAGAAAGTGCTATGGTTTACATGAGAACACAAATTAAAAATAAACCATTAATTCAAAAACAGCTTAACTCACATTTATTTGTGGGGTCCTCTTTGTCCCGATGGGTCACACACCGTTTGACGGGGTTCTTCCATTGGTCTGGCTGTGTGAACATCATGAGAGCCCTCACATATAAATTGGCGGTCCCATCCCACTTGATCTGTATGGGGACCACCTTCCCCAAGTCCACAAATATCTTGTTTAGTTTGGTTGACATCTGAAAGAATAAAATGCGTAAGTTACCATCCCAAACGCAATCAAGTACACAACGCAGCAAAGACAAAATAATGTTGAGAGGCATACATAGTACAGCTTCTTCTGCTGGCCCGTCATGTCCACCTTGGCGTCAAAAAGGTGGACGCCTGTAAACTCGGTTCGGGCCGGCAGCGGGCCGGTGGGGTTGACAAAAGGGGGGTCTGAAGTCGGTATTTCCACTCCGCTCCAGTCAACCAGGAGGGGATCGTTCATCAGGTCCGGGACGCTTGGGTCGCCTCTGCGTGAGGAAAAAGAGAGACATGTTTAATCTTGCCCGGCCCTGGGCTGAGGTGTCGCTCCCAGTCCTGCCGATCGCCTCCAACAGAGAACTGTGCAGTGCAGTAGCCGCAGTGCAGATTGCAGAAGCGGCGGACGACCACGCTGAAGGTTAGGTACCGGCGTAGTACACCTTCGCGCCGTCAGCCACAATAGTTTCATTTAAAGCCAGGGACATTTAGAAACAACTTACAGCATCATCTCCATTTCATCTGGGGCGCATATATCGGACTCCTGAGACTCCATTGTTTCTGTGAAACTTCGTAACCTGGACGACAGGTAGTGCAAGCCAAGTGACAGTACTGTGCAGAATGAATAAACTCTGCCAAGCTGTTCTTCACTTCGACTCGATCAAAAGATGAAACAACTCAGGTTTCAGGCAGGGAGCATTTAACTTTAGAACCGGGCACGGACAATAATATTCGGTCGAGCAGCACGAGTGGACCGACGCCGCGCCGCTGTTCCGTTGTGCCCCTCCAAACACACTCACTCACACACACCCACGCACACACACACGCCATAAAAAAAATCACAACCACAAGTACAAATGTGTGTGTATGTTATGTGTTTTATGTGTGTTGTGTGTGTAAGGCCTCATCTAAATTTCTCCTAAATTTTATGCGCGCCCAAGTATTTTGCCATGAAAAATTTTCATAGCAGTTTAGGAGTAGGGGAGGGTGGGGGAAGTGGAGGGAGAGGGCGGCGGCGGCCGAAAAGCGTGGTTGTTGTTTTCAGGTTAAGTTGTTCCTAGTTTAATCTGTTTCTGGAAGGGAAATGAGTGGTGGCAACCCTTCAGCGTTGACCTACAGGGTGCTGGGATGCTGCTCCACGTCCAAAGCCCGAGTGGGGGTCATGAAGCTGCCCCATCACGACGTCGACACGCCGGTGTTCATGCCCGTGGGCACCAAGGTAAACAACCCACAACACCTGTCATGTGTGAATTTGTTTATCATGTTTATCTATAAGAAACAGGCCTGTTCCTCTTCTTGTTCCAGGGAACGATTAAAGGGATCCTTCCTCAACAGTTGGAGGAGCTAAACTGTCAGATAATTCTTGGCAACACTTATCATTTGGGTACAAAACCTGTAAGTGAGTGCCTGTCTTGGCATAATTTTTGTTTACTGTTAGAAGTGAACTAATTCTTGTCGTTCTTTTCCTTTGTCATTTCTGTTTAATATTTCTGATGTGGAATTTCCTTTTTCAGGGTATCGACACTTTGAAGAAAGCTGGCGGTCTACACAAATTTATGAACTGGCCTCGTGCTCTTCTTACTGATTCTGGAGGATTTCAAATGGTCTCACTTCTGGAGTTAGCCGAGATTACGGAGGAAGGAGTAAAGTTTAAATCACCATATGATGGATCTGAATGCATGCTCACCCCAGAACATTCAACTGAAATCCAGAATGCTATCGGAGCTGACATTATGATGCAACTGGATGACGTTGTCCACTCAACCACGACAGGACCCAGAGTAGAGGAAGCCATGGAAAGGTATCCAAGATTCTACACGCTTTCCTTTCTAAAAAGCAACAACAGTAAACGAAATGGGAAAAATATTCAAGTCAGAGTCATGCATTTTACCTCTTATCTTTTCAGAACAACAAGGTGGCTAGATCGTTGTCTGGAGGCTCACTCGCGGGATCATGACCAAACTATATTTCCTATTGTTCAAGGTGGGCTTAATCCAACACTTCGTGAGCAAAGTGCCCATAAGCAAATTCAGCGTGATACTAGGGGTTTTGCCATCGGAGGCCTAAGGTTACTACGATTAGGTGTTTCATTTATTTGAAAAATAAGTGTCCAAAGTATGAAAGAAATTTTTAAATTGGCTTTCAACATTATTTTGCAGTGGAGGAGAAAGTAAAGATGACTTTTGGAGAATGGTTCATTTATCTACTGATATTCTTCCCAAGAACAAACCACGCTATTGTATGGGCGTGGGTTTTGCAGAAGACTTAGTTGTGTGCTGTGCCTTAGGAGTGGATATGTATGACTGTGTTTTTCCAACACGAACAGCAGTAAGTTTAATTTTTCCCTTATTTTGTTTGCCAAGTAATTAATTGAAAACATTGCCCTTTAAGATTTTAATTATTGTTCGTAGCGCTTTGGATGTGCACTCGTTGATGAAGGACAACTCAACCTAAAATTAGTCACTTATAAAAATGATTTTAGGCCAATTGACTCAGAGTGCAACTGTTCGACTTGCAAACGGTATACTCGTGCATATCTGCATTCAATTGTAACATCAGAAACAGTGGCTTGCCATCTTGTCTCAGTCCATAACATAGCATATCAGGTTTGTTTCAAATGTTTCATGTTCAAGCAATCTCTTTGAGGTATCCCCTCCACCATCACATCAAGTCTGTTTTTGTTTTCAGATGCGTTTAATGCTAAGAATACGCACTAGCATCATGGAGGATAAATACCCCAGTTTTGTGAAAAGTTTTATGAAGACCAGATACAATGATGGCTGTTACCCCTCCTGGGTTGTGGATGCCCTCAATGCAGTTGGCATAGCCCTTGATTAAGTACTTTAATAATAATGTTCCTATCAGGTGGAAGAAAGTGGTGCTCATCATTCTTTTTATGTATATATATATATATTTTTTTTTTAATTTTAAGTTTTTACCAAAAACAGTCACATTGCAAAACAAACATCACTTAACATGAATAAACTTATACAGTAACGAAATATTGACTTGAATGGTTTTTGTCGTGGTGCAACCGAACACTGTAAGACATCTCCCATTGGAACTTTGGCTGAATTTACGTAGCGCAGGTCTAGGGCAGGCGGTCCTTGGCGGCGCTCTGCCCGGCGCCTTGCTTCACCTGGTGCCGGCCGCCTGCAGCAGCTTGAGGAAGGCCCTGGCCTCGATGAGGCACTTGCTGTAGCGTGCCGCGCACTTGGCGGCGTCCTTGGAGGACTGGCCGAGCTGCTCCGCTGCCCGGAACTCGGCGGCCGCCTCGTCGTCGTCGTCCTCCTCGCTCCGCCTGAGAGTGAGGGACAGGGGCAGTAAACGAAAGAGAACAGCGCCGCGGTCGCCGCCGGGAATCGAACCCTCTACTCACTGGACCAGCCTGAGGATGGCCGTCTCGTGCGGCCGGAGTCCCTTCGTCGACGCCGACAGCTGGCACACCAGCTTCCTCGCGCAGCCCAGCGGGTCTTGCATCAGCACTTGTCGAAGCAAGTGCGCCATGACGCCGCGCCGACTCGGCGCCTCCACCGCCCCTCGCTCCTGCCGGACAAACAACCCAGGTTCAACGCCCGGTTCAGCGACGAAAACGACTCTCTGAATCAGTCTGCCGCGCGCGATGCACCAACCCCGCACCGCCTACCTGGCTGACGTCGCTGACGGCGCTGACGTCGCGCTTGGTGATGGCCCGGAACAGGGCGCGCGTGGCCGCCACGGCCGGCCGGGGCCTGTTGGTGATCTTGTTGTAGTCCTGGGCGAGCATGTGCAGCATGTACATGCCGGCCAGCCCCATGGCGGCCAGCAGCGCCAGGCGGATGAAGTGGTAGCCGGCGCGGACCATGCCCACCAGCAGCAGCATGAGCAGCACGCGCCGCCAGCCCGCCGAGACCGCCATGACCCTGCTTGCCCTGCGCCGCGAGTTGGACAGTGAGGCCCCTGCGCCCCCGGGGGAAAGGCTAGCCGTCGCACAGTGGGCTAGAAGGCCGGTGGGGGCGGTCGAAATCCCGGACGCGTTTTGAGCTCCAGGGTCGCTAAATGGGACTCGAACCGAACGTGTGACCCCACCAATGGATTGCTCTCCGAACGAGGAATCCGTTGGTGGGGTCGTAGGCTCGGCTCGACTCCCATTTAGCGACTCTGGAGCTCGAAACGCGTGGCCGTGGCCCACTGTGCGTGCAGCTACGCACCTCCCTGGCTGTCCTGAGTCCGGTGGCGTCGGAGGCGGAGGCTCCGCTCGCGGCGAAGGGTGGCCGTCGACTACCACCGCGTGGCTCCGCGGTCCCCGCCGTGGTCCAGAGGGAGGAGGGAAGGCAGGGAAGGCCCACCACCTGGTGTAGCGCAGTGTAGCGCCAGCCCGCCGGCCGCCTGTCTCTCTCGCACCCCTGCGGGACCCCGCGGGACGCCGAGAGAGACAGAGCGGCGGAGCGACCCTTCGGAATCAGGCCGGCGAACACGGCGAACCGGTCCGGATGCCGGAAGACTGCGGGCCTGGTGACACCGCGGCCACCGCTGCAGCCACCGCGGCGCAAGGCGCAACTCGGTCGCGCACTCGCTCGGCCCGGATTCCCGGAACACGCGCACGCCGCACGCAAGGCGCACGCCAGGTGCTCGCGGGTGTCGGGGTCCTGCCGGCTCGACGCGCGGGGCTGCGCGGGGCTGCGCGGGTCGCCCCGGACGGCCCGGGCTGGACGCTGGACCGCGGCGTCGTCTCTCGTGTGACGCAACGCCGCCGTCCTGGCCCGGCTCCAGGGAAGTCCCCTACCCCCTCCCGGCCAGCACACTACTGATGCGATGCCGAGAGGAGGTTTCGTCGCTCTGTCTCTGTCGCACTCGTGGTGGGCTCCGTAGAGGGGAGCGAGAGAGAAAACGACCTTTCGGAATCAGTCCGCCGCGCCAGATAAACAAACCGAGGTATCTGTGGTGTGCTGCGTGTTGCCGTCGTTGATGTTGTCGCGGTTCGGTCCTGTCCTGGGCGCGCCTAGCTGGACTTCCACCTGGGCACAATAGGGCGCGCTTGTGTCTGTGTGAGTGAGTGTGCGCGCACCGCCATGGCCGGCACTTTATTGCGTCATGTCCACGCCACTGCAAAACGGGCCGGGCCGGGCCGCGAAGATTCTTTGTGGATGCAATCGGGCGGGGTGGTGGCTGTGGTGGCGGGGCTCCTGGTCACTGCACTGCACGCACGGCGGCTCGGTGACTCTAGTGACCGGTGTGCTGCCGCCCAGCTGGTCCCCCACATTAGCACACAATGGTGCACGCGCCGCGCGCCGCCGGGCCGCGAGGGGCTGTAAGTGCGACAGACGGGCTTTGAAGAGCGAGGCAGTGGATCCCCCGTTCCCGCCTAAGCCTATCCGTCCCTTCCGTGCACTCCTATTGGCGGCGTGGGGCGGCGTGAGTTGTTGAAGTGAGACAGAGTGTATTGGTCGATTTCCATCTAACTTTGTCCGCCCTGCCGCGGCAAAAGTTGGGTCCGCGCTATGCCAGAGCGATTCCACTGCCCGCACCCCTACGGCCCTACGGCACACTCTGCGAGTGCGAGAGAGACAGCGAGAGTCGTGCAGAATCGCTCGACAGACCGCCTCGCCGTGCAGTTGGGCGTTACGTTGGAGTCCTGTCCGACTGTCGCCGCTGTCGCTTTCGTTATTGCAGATTGGCGGCACCGCGGCCATGCCGTCGCGCTAACTCTGTCTCTGTCGCACCCACGGGGCGCCCCGTAGGGCCCGTAGGAGTGCGAGAGAGACAGCGCGACATATCGCTCGGCTGCCCGTTTTCTGGACGACCGCATACATTAGCAAAATAAGCCTGACGCGCTTCCGTTGTGAAAGTCATGTGCATAATTTTTGTCCCTCACGCGATTCCGTTTTACGACTGAAATGAAACATGTCAAACGAGAAAAAAAAAGAAAAACGCGCCGTCGCGGTTTTGGGGTCACCCCGGACGGTCCTCCGGTCCGTGTGCAAACTTTTGATGCGGCTGGCGACACATGTCCGTCCAGTGTGCCAGTCTGCCTCTCGGGAAGCACCCTGCCCGTCCGGTCCGGTTGCGTTGCTGTAAGTGGCTGTGTGGCGGCAGAAAACGCGCAGAAAAAAAAAAGAACAAACGGTGGTCCGCCTGACCCGGTACTTGAACCCACAGCCCGCCCGTCACTTGCATCTAACTTCATCGAATTGAAACTAGACGAATACTCGGTGCGCCTTAGCCAGCTGCCAAGGCTACCTTGAAGCGAAGGGGATGAAGGGGAGGGAAGTCCGAAATTCAACACCCCGTTGGTTCCGTTTCCGTTCCGCGGGTAAATTTAATGCGGTATGAAAAATCAAGTCGGGATGCGGGGGGAGGGGAGGGGGATGAGGAGAGTGCTTCCGTTCGTCGTCTGTCCTTGTGCCAAACCCTACGTGTCTGAAACTCGGTCAAAATGCCCAAGAAGAAGACAGGACAGCGCAAGAAGGCAGAAAAGCAGAGACTTCGACAGAAGGAGATTCGATCCGCCCGCGACAATGTTCCTCTTGCCAAATATCCTTGCAACGCGTCGATGGTGAGTTACCAGACCCTCCATGGCTAGGTTATGTTTTCTTGCTGCTTGTGTGACAGGTCTGCTCTGGAGAGAGGAAACATTAATTTTATCGTTGCCCCTTTTGTTTATTTTGCAGGAATGCGACAGATGCGAAAGGTGAGTGAACGCCAAGTGGCTGAGGGGTGCTCTCGTGTGTCTTTTGTAAAAACCAAAAAATTTGTTCACCCGCTGCCTTCAGAAAAATAGTCTTTGTACCAATTTATATTATATTGCTTACTGTAACAGTTTCACAATCATGGATTCCATTAATCTTAGTTTTCATTCATTTTGGGCATGGTGCTCTCATCTTCTCTGAGCTCATCAGTTTCGTCTATTTGCAGGAAGCAGAAGAATCGTGCATTTTGCTATTTCTGCCAGAGTTTGCAGAGGCTACCACAATGTGCTCATTGTGGTAAAGTGAAGTGCATGCTGAAGACAGGAGACTGCTGCGTCAAACACCCTGGCCAGTTTTCAACTGGAATGGGCATGGTGGTGTGTATCTGTTTCAGAACATTTTTTAAAAATTAATCGTGGATCTGTTTTAATTTATTGTGACTTCTTTCAGGGTGCCATTTGCGACTTCTGTGAAGCTTGGGTGTGCCATGGACGCAAGTGCCTGACAACTCATGCCTGTACTTGTCCACTGCAAGATTCGGTTTGCATTGAGTGTGAGCGAGGCGTATGGGATCACGGCGGCCGAATGTTCCAGTGCTCATTCTGCAATAATTTCCTATGTGAAGACGATCAGTTTGAACATCAAGCCTCCTGCCAAGTGATTGAGTCTGAAAACTTGAAATGTGAGTTCCATTGATTATTTATTTTCTCCTTGTGGTATTCAGTTGGGCCTGGGCATTTTAGCAAGTGGTTAATGTATGTTTTCAGGCCAATCCTGCAACAAGCTGGGTCAATACTCTTGCCTGCGTTGCAAAGTGTGCTTCTGTGAAGATCATGTACGAAGGAAAGGCTTCAAGTACGAGAAAGGAAAGACCATTCCTTGCCCGAAATGTGGCTATGATACCTCTCAAACTAAGGACCTCAGCATGTCAAGTAGGTCATCCTCTGTTGGTTCTTGAACTGTAATTATTTCTGAAGGGCTCCCATTAATTTTGCTCTTTTTTAGCTCGGAGTCACAAGTTTGGTCGTCAAGGCCTTGGGGGCGATGATGATGATGATGAGGGTGGATCTGGATATGGCTACTATGGAGGCACTGCCAGCTATGGAGGTATGCATTTTCTGTGTACTTTTATTTATAATAATAAATCATTCTTTAAAAAACACTTTTAATTGATATGATTATGCTTGAAAATTTTCCATAGATGATGAAGATGATGATGAGGATTATTCTGGAGGTTCTGATGATTCCTACACTGATTCTGATGATTCTGATGATGACTCTGATGATGATGATGAGGAGGATGAAGAGGATAAGGAAGATAAAGAAGAGGACAAGAGCAAAAAGGATGTGGCAAAGTAAACAGGGTCTAAGCATGTTGGTGTCTAGGGAAATAATGTGCAATGTCACATTGACAATAGAAGGGTACAATATTCCAAATGAAGTCTTCCTCGTGCCTTCTAATGGATTATTTTGCAACTTATGTACATTCAAACAAAGATATCACGGCTGTGAATTTGTGTGTGAAACCAACCCAGAATAATTGATTGTAACTAGAAAAAATAAAATATTTTTTTCAAACTAAAATTTTATTATGAATTTGTAATACCCGTTTTACTGCAAAGACTAGTTGAAATGCAACCTTATTCGATTTTCTCATAGCTTTTATATCAGTCTACCACTTTTTCCTTCCATGGCTTGAGACTCATCTGTGGCAGCTGCTTCCAATCCGCGCACAAAATGTAAGGATTTCTGGAACAAGCATTAATGAATGAAATAGCGTATTAGATGGGAGTCCTGGCCTGTGGCCTGGCGTGCCGGCTCACCGCTGGGCGTGCTTCCTCTCCATGGGCCTGGCCTGCACGCTGTGGACGTGGACCCCGGCGTCGCAGATGAGCCTGGCCAGGCTGGTCCTCCGCACCTCGGCCAGCTGCCTCGGCGTGAAGGAGCCCGCCTGCCGCCCGTTCTCGTACCAGTACCGGTCGCCCAGCTTGAGGTTCCGGAACGTCCTGCCGATGATGCAGGCGAAGGTGGGCCCCACGATGGCCCCCGACGACGCTCGGGTGCGCTCGGAGATGCCCGCCGTCCAGAGGTCCACGTCGTCCGGGTGCCTGGTTCCATCCCACAGCAAGTGAGCGCTTTGCCGCTTGACAAGCCTCGAATTGGAGGCATTGACTTACTCGTAGAGCTCGGCCAGCCTGGTGGCCGTGAGGTTGCCGACGGCGACCGCCATGTCGCGCCACGTCCGGGCGGGGGGCAGCCCGCACAGCTGGCGGTAGTGGTTGAAGGACGGCACGCCGTGCTCGCGGGCCCTGGCCAGGTTGATGGAGGCCAAGTCCTTGCCGAAGGCCCGGGCGGGCCGCTTGAACAGATGGTCCACCACCTGCGGGTTGCGGGTCGGGCCCCCGGGGTGGGTTCAATCACCACGACTATCGTCTGAAGACTGATTCGGCGCTGTCTCTCTCGCACTCACGCGGCGTTCCGTTTGGGTGCGAGAGAGACAGAGCGCGCCTGCTGACCTGCGCGGTGACCTCGTTGTCCATGCGGCTGGCGGGCTGCCCCGCCATGCCCAGCAGCAGCTGGTCCAGCCAGCCGGGGCGCCGCAGCTGGAAGGGCCTCTGCAGCGCGTCGGACAGCGGCATGTCGGCCAGCAGGCGGTGCTGCGCGTCGCGGCGCTCCAGGCGCGCCGGCAGCAGCGAGTGGCCGAAGCGGAAGGCCGCCGTCGCGAAGGCGTCGGGCACCGTGGCGTCCAGCGTCGCGTTGTAGGCCGAGCTGCCGGTCAGAGAGTCGTGAGTCGCTCTGTCTCTCTCGCACTCGTGGGGCGCCTTCTATAGGTGCGACAGAGACAGAGCGGCGAAACCGACGCGTTCGCCGCGTTACCTGTAGCCCGCCCCCAGCAGCGCCAGCCCCTGCTCGCGCACGGCCTTGGCGCCCAGCAGCAGCGGCAGGAACTCCTTGTACGACACGTGCTGCATGATGGCGGCCACGATGTGCCGCACCTGCCGAAAGAGAGAGACACTTTGGGGTGTCGAAGCTGCGTGTCTCGTCGGACAGAAGCGCGCAGGCTGATTTGGCGGTGTGCACTCACTTCCTGGAACAGCTGCTCGTCGTCCCAGTGCGGGTTGACCGCCGCCATGGCCCGCGCCAGGCGGTTGTGTTCGCGCACCAGCAGGACGTGCAGGGCCGCCAGCCCGAGCTGCTCGTTAGCGCGGTTGTCCCCTGGAAACGAGGTCACGGGTTCAACTCCCGGCCAAGGCAGCCGCTTTGGGTCTAGTTTGACTTTTGCCGACCCGCCAGGAAGCAGGGCTCGGGGCTGCGCGGGTCGGGGATGCAGCCGTCGCCGGGGTACTCCAGCTTGGGCGGCATGGCGGTCTCCTGCCGCTGCGGGTCCTCCTCGGCGTCCGCCAGGTCGTCGTCGTCGTGGAGGTGCTGCTCGCGCAGCAGGCCGCCGCGCAGCTGGCGCAGCCCGTCGGAGGTCCTGAAGCTGGAGCCGTACACGGTGCCCGCGTCCACGAACGACGTCACCAGGTTGAACTGCGTCCGCGGCCCCAGCGCGCAGTCGGCGCGCAGCCCCGCCAGCGACCGCGCCAGCTCCATGCAGCGCCCCATGTGGTCGCCGCGCGGCAGCAGCAGCCCCAGGCAGTTGGGGTGCAGCGGAGCCTCGCCGTCGTGGCCGTGGCCGTGGCCGTGGCCGTGACCGTCCTCGGGTGGACAGCACGGCGGGTCGCCGCGCGTCCACGGGTCTGTCGGCCGACGACCAAACCAAACATGCCAGGATCAACTTACGTCGCGCAGCAGACTTCGCTTCCTCCGCACTGCCTCTCTCGCACTCACGGGGCGTCCCTTGTAAGTGCGAGAGAGACAGAGCGACGGAAACCACTCTCGGAATCAGTCTGCAGCGCGACCGAGAGAGCGCCTGGTGGGCAGGCCACCCTTGCGGCACGGCTGAGGTGCCGCCCGCCAGGTAGGCAATCCGCCGATGGATTGCACCTTTGGTCTCGGCGGTGAGGGTGATGTCGTGGTCCAGCAGCTGCCCCCAGGTGACGAACATGAAGGTGACCCGCGGGTGCAGGTGGTGCTCGTCGTCGGTGTGGCCGGCCGCCTTGTCGACCTCGCGGTGCAGCGACGTGGACACGATGCGGGGGTTGGGGAGCTGCCGTCCGGACAGCGCCACTCTGGGCGCGCCGACGCCTGCAGGCAGCAGCGATGATTGTCGAGACTGCGCTCTTAAGGTGTTCAGAGTGTCGACCCGCTCACCGTCGGCGTAGTCGGGCGGCAGCAGACGCCTGAAGGCGGCGCCGGCCATGCCCCAGGTGGGGTGCTGCAGGTTGTTGCAGACGCCGTCGTGGCGCCGGAAGCGCGTCTCCTCGCAGCCCCGCGGCCGCCGCGACGCCAGCGACGACGGGCAGTAGCGGCCGATGTCCGTCCAGCGGGTGTCCACGTCGGCCAGCCCGAGCACCACGTCAGCGCGCGACAGCGCGAACCTGTGTTCAAAGGTTCAAAACACTCGCCTGCCGTCTTTCTTCTGTGGCCGTCGTCGTCCTCACCGCTCCTTGAGGATCCGGGCCGTCTCCTCGACGGCGGCCCCGAGCTGGCCGACGTAGTGGTCGGGCGCGGGGCCGGGGACGCTCCCGGACGCGGACAGCGGCCGGTGGGGCCCCGTCCGCGCGCGCGCCTCGTGGAACGCGTCGTTGACGGCGCCGAAGGGGATGCATCGCGGGCCGCCCCTGCAACAGCGAGCACCGCGTCAGCGTCAGCGCGCTGCGACTCCACGGCGAGGTCGCGGGTTCGAGTCTCCATACCGGATGACGTCGTTGGCCTCCTTCGGCAGCTCGAGAGCGCAGTCTTCCGGGTTTGGGACGGCCGGGGGACGCGCCGCCGCCGCGGCAGTCGACACCAGCACCACGAGGACGACACTGCGGCACCAGGATCCTTAAATCGTCCAGCCCGCTTACCCAAGCCGACTGGCCGTTTTCCGACTGTGCAGCTGGTACCGACCGCACCGACCGCACCGACGCCTGCCTGCTCACCTGATGCGCATTCTTAAGCACTTCTGGTGTGGAGCCAGCGCTTTCCCGGCCGTCCAGCCGCAGGACTGCGTACACTGCGGCGCGCAGCACCGCCCAAGGGCCATCTGTGCGTCCCTGCGCCCCACGGAGGTACTTGGAGTGATCGAGGTCTTTCCGCGGGGGTACGGTGCGGCGAGGTGTGGGTGGCGCGCCGGGGGCCCGGTCCCAGGGGGGCGTCGGGGGCGGGGGCACGATTGGGCTAGCGGTGTCGCGGGGGCGTTGTCCGATACCCCCTTTCAGGCCCTCGCGAAACGAAACGGCTGGCGGTGCAGAAGCTCGCAATAAAACGCCCCTCTCTCTCCCTCTCGGTCGTCAAATGGGGCTGACGTAGCGCCCAGCGCAGATGCAGGTAGTTATTAAAGTTGATACCCGCCGGGGCCTTTCGGAAGATTGGTACCACCCGGATCCCAGGCCCACGCACACGAATTCATTCATTCATTCATTCATTCATTCATTCATTCATTCATTCATTCATTCATTCATTCATTCATTCATTCATTCATTCATTCATTCATTCATTCATTCATTCATTCATACAGTTCCCCCTACCTTCCCCCACTGTTCATTCATTCAGCAACTCATTTGCGCGACTGTAGCCGCTCGCGGCGCCACGCTTCGAGACATCGATCTCGAGTGAGGCTTGGCGGCTTGGCAACAGCGCCGCCCCTCCCCTCCCCTCCCCTCCCCTCGGCGCCAGGCGTCGGGCAGACGACGCAAGTCTGGCCGTCTTCTGCTTGCTTTGCTTGCTTCTGCTACAGTGGTGTTGGTGTTGTCGGTGTTGTTGTGCCGCGGTTCCATTGCGCCGCTCTGGTAAGGTCACAACTCCCGCTGCCGTTCGAAAGCGAAACTCGGTGCGAATTTCGGTTTGGCGGTGCTTTTCCGAGCGCGCGGCGCTAGACCCGCGGCAGGCCGAGAGGCGACGAGGCGACCCGGACCAAGCGGAGCCCGAGGATGAAGAGGTTAGGACCGACTCGACGCCCCTCTCTCACACAGCGCAGCGCAGTGCAAAGCTTGGCGAATTTGTCCGAAACGCGTTGTGGCGTAGCGGGGCAGCCCGCCTTCGTCGGACTGGACGGTCTGGACTCTGGTTTGTGGGTTAGGACGGTCCTACTGGCCGTTGAACCAGATCCTCGCCGACCGGGGGGTATTTTGGGAGGATGTGCGTCCCCGTTCGTTGACACAAGTCGACCGTGACACGGTGTGACACGGTTTCCTTGCCGTCGGCTTGGAGTCACTCTCGCTGCCAGACGCCGTTGTTCGCTCCGGCCTGGCACTACTCAAGACTGTCATGGCTGGTGGTTCGACTGGTTGTTTCTGAGCCGTTTTCTCACTCGCTCTGCAGATCGAAGCTCGCGCCTTGCGGCCCTTGCGGGATGGACGTGACCATGGAGCCCTTCCACGGCCCGCCCCTGTCCCCGGGGATGGTGGCCACGCCGTCCAACGGGAAGAACCCTGGGGGCAAGTGGTACAGGAAAGCAGCGCACAGGTAAGTAACGTTGCCAATTTCTACCCGACGAAAAAAAATTATCCAAAATTTAATAAGAAACTTGTTTTTAAAGAGGATCACAGCATCTCTGCTACATGTAATGTATTGCATGTGTGTTGTCACCGCTCTCTAGCCTGATAAGATAAAAATGTGAGCCCAGTCCACCTTGCACTTGACTGGCTTAAAAGCGTTCTTTGTACAGTCAACCTCTTGGGGGATTAAGGATCGTGAAAGCACACTTTTGTGCATCAGAATGCACGACTACACAGTCACGTCATACCGTAAAAGACAATGTTGTGGGTCCCTGCATGCGAAGGGCTTGAGCCTGTCTCCCCCCCCCCCCTCCGGCCACTGCAGACCGATTCCCAGAGTCGTTGTCGTCGCTCTGTCTCTCTCGCACCTACACGGGACGCCCCACGAGTGCGAGAGAGACAGAGCGACGGCAACGACTCTCGGAATCCGTCTGGTGGCGTGAGCGTGGGCACGATGTGCTTGTGGTACGCGCCGCCGCGCCCGTGCTGCAGATGTTACCCGGACACGCGAGGCGCCGAGCGACGACCACGACGAGGGCCTTCTTTATGGCCGCGGCGAGGCAGGGCTGCAGACTTATTCCGTCGCTCTGTCTCTCTCGCACTCATGGGGCGTCCCGTGTGGGTGCGAGAGAGACAGCGATGAAAACGGCTCTCGGAATCAGTCTGCTGCGGGGCTGCGGCCGATGCGGCGGCCCGATACTGAGGAGAGGGCCTCGCTTCGCCTCATTTTTGGCGTTGGCCTCTCTCGGCGACGTCGGCGTGCTGTTACGCGACGCGTCACTACACGGGTCACTCTTCGGCCACCTCTTTCCCGGGCTGCTCTGTGGCGTCATTGTCGTTGTTGTTTTCGCTCTTGTTGTCTTCGTTTGTTGCGCTGCCGCGGCATGCCGTGTCGCGGCACTGTCGCCCCCGGTCGCCCCGCCCCAATCAAGTGCTCGACGCGCTAAAGCCGGCCGGGCCGGCGTGGCCGAGGCCGCGGTCACGCGAGGCTGTCGCTCTGTCTCTCTCGCACCTAGACGGGACGCCCCATGAGTGCGAGAGAGACGGAGCGACTCAGCTGGCCGCGCCAAATGCATGTCGTGCGGCACGCGTTCGCGCGCGTGTCTCTGGCGGGGCGGGGCGAATCTCACTCGCCCCCGACAAGGGAGGTATTTTTGGGCCCCAAAACGCGTGCGTGTTTCTGAATGGAGCGGCCGACTACTATTTCGGTCCTTGGGTCGGTCGGTGGGTCGGCGGGTCGGTTTGCCAGTGGCGTGGGCCGCTTGAGGTTGCACCTGAACTGCACCATGTCGTGCGGCACGCCCAGCAACCCATTCCGAGAGTCGCTTTCGTTGCTCCGTCTCTGTCGCACCCACGGCACCCTCGGGACGGCCCGCGAGTGCGACAAGGGCAGAGCCATGGCAGCCGTTGCTGGGCTCGCGGCCCACGGCGAGCCTGCCGAGGAGCCGGGCGAGGAGCGCTGGTTTATTTCGAACAAATCAGTCTGCATGGTTTCGCACTGACAGGCCGGCCCGCTACGGTACACGGTAAGCCGCGGTGACGCGGCGCCGCGCCTCGGCGTTTGGCAGCGGTTGCTTGGCTCGCCCCGCCGCGCCCCGCCCCGCCCCGCCGCGCCCCGCCCCGCCCCGCCCCGCCCCGCCCCGGCCCGGCCCGCACAGGTTCAAGGCCTGGCTATCGCGTGCTATCTCGAAAGTGGCGGCGTGGGCCCGTGAGCGGGGCGAGAGGGAAGGGCGTGAGCTGGCGTGAGCCCGCCTCCTTGGCGGCAGTTCGCGGCCGCCACCGCCACCGCCCTCATGAACCGCATGCGCCTGGACGCGCACCGCCGAGGCCGCCCTCGTCCTCCCTGACCCCCGGCTCCGGGACGCCGACCTTGGCCGACGCGTCCCTCTGGCGGCGGCCGCGTGCTGCACCCAGCGGCCCGAACGCGGGCATGTATTTATAAACCGCGCGCTGCAGCGGACTCGTCCCGAGAGTCGCTCTCGCTCCCACACTGGGCGCCGCATGTGAGTGCGCGAGAGACAGAGCGACGAAAACGACTCTCGGAATCGGTGTGAGAGGGCGGCGGGGGCAACGGGGGCGATCCCTGCGCCGTGATAGAAGGCTTCGGTGCGCATTGCGGAGTGCAAGGGGTGGGGGTGGGGGGAGCTCGCGGTGCACGCCGTCCCGGCCGTCCCGGCCACACATACATTGTCTTTGTGACGGGAGGAAATTAAGCACCCTCGACACCCATTCTTTACGGCGACTTGGCCGGCCCGCCGCCAGCAGGCGCCCGAAACTTGAGCCAAATCGGCCCGATTTCGACGTGACATGACGGCCCCTTTGTTTGCTAAACAGCGAGCGGGGTGCTGTACACCAGTGTACACCGCACGACACGGGCCGGCCCTGCGCCGTCGCGCCTCGAACCCCGTGGGGGTAGGCAGTGCCGCCAGCCTGCGCCGTGCTCCGGGACTGCCTAGCCGCGCTCTGCAGGCTGATGTCCGAGGGCCGCCTCGTCTCCCTGTCTTTGTCGCACTCATGGAAACGGTTCTTCGGCAGTGTGCTGGCGACGGCGAATTTGGCGTAGCGGGGGCCGGGGGCGGCCGGAGGCCTCGGCGCGCACGCGCACGCGCACCCACCACACTCGCTTATCTATTCGAATCGACACGACGGCGGCGGCGGAGCCCCCCCTCCCCTTTCCCCTTTCCCCTTGGGGACCGCGCCGCGCCGCGCCGCCGCAGCCCGCGTCCGAATTCATCGTTTTCAAATTATAACCACGAAAACCAAAGCCGCATTATTACGCAACAATTGTGTCATCATCGCGGTGGCGTGGCCCGGCGTGGCGGGCGGGGCGCGGGGCGTTTGCCCGACGGTGGTGTGGTGGCGGCGGGGAGGGCCGGGGGGAATTTTCCGTTATTTTTTCGTTTTCCGGAATTATCGCGCACACGATGTCGATATGCCGGCCGGGCGAGCGTCGCGCCGCCTCCGTCCCGATCGTAAACACACTGGGATGTGGTGCCGGGATTTCGTCACACGCCTTCGCGGACCCTGTGGCACCCTGTGGCCGCGTAGCAGCGCGATAACGCCTTCAGTGTGTTGCGACCCGCGGAGCCGCGTAGACCTTCTCCCTTTCGCGCACCGTTACGTCGTCGGCGTTGTCTTGGTGCCGCCTTGCCGCCGCGCCCCGCCGTGCCGCGCCTTGCCGTGGCGCTCGCTGTCGCCAAGTGCCGCGTCGTGTTCCTGGACGGCCTCGTCCACCACCGCCAGCCCCGCCGGCCGCCCTGCGCGCTGCTGCATAGATCCGTGGGTGTCGCGATCGCGAGCCGTTTGTGTATGCAGAGACCCGCCCGCCAGACCACCGCCACACTGTGGGACGGGAACCCCGCGCGCGCGGCCTAAACACTAGACGCGTTTTGAGCTCCAGAGTCGCTAAATGGGACTCGAACCGAACGTGTGACCCCACCAATGGATACCCCGTTCGGAGAGCAATCCATTGGTGGGGTCGCACGTTCGGTTCGAGTCCTTCTTAGCGACTCTGGAGCCCAAAACGCGTCCGACTGACATCACGGACCTCTGACGGAAGGACGGATCCCGGACGCGCTGTCTGACGTGGACGTGTCTGGCGGGCGGGCTGCGGTGGCGCTCAGTGAGGGTGGCTTGCAGGTCGAAGCCATGGACCGACGGCGCAAGAAGAGCGCAGAGGTGCGCATCGTGGCCCCCGAGGACGTGTCCGTGTCCGGGGCCGTGCGCAGGACCTCCTTGACCAGCGGGCGCAGGACCCCCGAGCACCGCCTCGGCGCCGGCCTCGCCTCCGACCTCGGCCAGCTGAGCCTCACGCGCAACGACCGCTCCGAGATCGACCTGGACGGCTTCATGACCGGCATGGAGAGCTCGGCCTGGGTGGACGAGCGCGAGCTGGGCCATAGGTGAGCCACCTTCGGAACCAGGCGGCAGGTGTTGGGATAGGTCGCCGTCTCGTTAGGTCGCTCTCTCTCTCTCTCTTCTCTCTCTCTCTTCTTCTGTCTGCTACCGCGTGTACCGTCCTTTTCCTCGTCCACCTTCTTGCCCTCGCGTTGGGATTGGTTCGGCCCGGATACACACACACACTCAACATGCACACACAGATAGGCAGACAGGCACCGGGCGGACCCTGCCCGCCCGGAGTGTAGGCCACCCCTCGCACAGCTGTTGTAACGCTGCGGTGGCGGTGGCAGTGTGGTGGCGATGGCCGTGCCTGGCCGAGGCCCCGAGCCCCTGCCCCTGGGCCCCAGGGAGCCGCCGCCACCCCGGCCGGCCGGGCCAACGCCAACAACAACCCGAGGGCCTACGCCGGGCCGCGTAGTACGCAGCACGGAGGATCGATAGCCAACCTTTCTGAATGCAAACCTCTTGGCGAGTCGGGCGGCGCCGCTGCCGTCACCCGCGTGCCCGCGTCCCGCCGAGGAGGGCCCCAAGGGCAGCCCCGTCGCCCCGTCAAGGGCCGGCCCTACCCAGGCCCCCGCCGTGAAAGGGCTGCCCACTGTACTGCGGACTGACTCCGAGAGTCGTCGCCCTGTCTCCCTCGCACCTACACTGGACGCCAGCGACGAAAACGACTCTTCGGAGTCAGCCTGCTGGTTGACGGCGGCCTGGCGTGCCTTTGACGGCGCGGTTAGCGGTCGTTTACGGCGTGCCGTCGCGGAGCCCGTCGCGGAGCGGTGCTGTCGGCGACCTCTCGCTGGAGTCTTCTTGTCCGCCGGACCTGAAGCCACACTCGCACCCGCAAGGTGCGTGCAGGCTCGGACTGGCCCCCAAAAGGCCCCGGCAGATAAGACGGCAAAAGGCCCCCGATCATCATAGTTTTTACCCTTCATGACCAACTTTGTGAGTCTACCGCTCCCACACAAGTTGCGGTCAATAGCCTAGGCAAAATCGTTGTGGTCAACGTCTTCCCGATACAGGGCATGAAAGAGTAGGGTCTTAAGAATACTAGGACGTCGAGGGAGGCCTTTTACGGCTACTAGATTGGACACAGTGGCCCCCCAAAGTCAGCAAAATCAGCAAATTTCCGAGATTCGACCACTTTTTGACCAACTTTGGTCCCAAAATCGTTGCGGTCAAAGGCAAAATCGTTGTGGTCAACGTCTTCCCGATACAGGGCATGAAAGAGTAGGGTCTTAAGAATACTAGGACGTCGAGGGAGGCCTTTTACGGCTACTAGATTGGACACAGTGGCCCCCCAAAGTCAGCAAAATCAGCAAATTCCGAGATTCGACCACTTTTTGACCAACTTTGGTCCCAAAATCGTTGCGGTCAAAGGCAAAATCGTTGTGGTCAACGTCTTCCCGATACAGGGCATGAAAGAGTAGGGTCTTAAGAATACTAGGACGTCGAGGGAGGCCTTTTACGGCTACTAGATTGGACACAGTGGCCCCCCAAAGTCAGCAAAATCAGCAAATTTCCGAGATTCGACCACTTTTTGACCAACTTTGGTCCCAAAATCGTTGCGGTCAAAGGCAAAATCGTTGTGGTCAACGTCTTCCCGATACAGGGCATGAAAGAGTAGGGTCTTAAGAATACTAGGACGTCGAGGGAGGCCTTTTACGGCTACTAGATTGGACACAGTGGCCCCCCAAAGTCAGCAAAATCAGCAAATTTCCGAGATTCGACCACTTTTTGACCAACTTTGGTCCCAAAATCGTTGCGGTCAAAGGCAAAATCGTTGTGGTCAACGTCTTCCCGATACAGGGCATGAAAGAGTAGGGTCTTAAGAATACTAGGACGTCGAGGGAGGCCTTTTACGGCTACTAGATTGGACACAGTGGCCCCCCAAAGTCAGCAAAATCAGCAAATTTCCGAGATTCGACCACTTTTTGACCAACTTTGGTCCCAAAATCGTTGCGGTCAAAGGCAAAATCGTTGTGGTCAACGTCTTCCCGATACAGGGCATGAAAGAGTAGGGTCTTAAGAATACTAGGACGTCGAGGGAGGCCGTTGGCCGCAACTAGATCGAAGCAGTGGCCGCTCAAATTCAGCGAAAACGGCCACTTTCGGAGATTCAATCACTTTTTGACCAACTTCGTGACGTTACTGGTCACAAATCCAAAGGCCCCGGCAGATTTTTCTGCCTGTCTGCCCTGGCCAGTCCGAGCCTGGGTGCGTGGTTCGAATCCCGGCGGCGGCGAGGCGTCCCTCACTTTGGCCCCTAAATTGTTTCCCTGTGACCCTGTGCTACTTCCGCGCCCCAAAGGCCAGAGGGTGGTTGCCCCAGTGAACCGGGCGGGGCGGGGCGGGGCGGGGCGGGGTGTTGAATGTTACAGTTCGCGTGACCGGGGTGCCAGCCTAAGGAGCGGAAAGCGGGGCCTCCCGTCAGCTCGTTGTTTGTTGTTGTTGTTGTTGTTGTTGCACTGTGCTGCCCAGGACGGCACCGCTTCCTGATGCGGCGACTGCGCAGCGCAAAGCGCGCTCGCGGGGGGGAAATATAATTACATGAAAGTCCCTCGGGAAAGCGGAAGAAAAGGTGTAAAAAGAAAAAAAGAGTTTCTCGACGAAGTTAATGGAAAACCAATCATCCTCTCTCCCTCTCTCTCTCATCATCATCACGCAGCAGAAATCTAAAACGTTCGGGCGCAGTGATTGTTGCCCACAAAATTACTATAGGAGTGGGTCGGTGGGGCGCGGTCGCCGTGTCGTGAGAGCGTCGCAGTGTGTTGGCGGGGCGGGACGGGGCGGGGCGGGACGTGGCGGGGCGGGCCTTTTAAGGCGTGGGCTTGCGCAATGCAGTTAGTGCGATTTGGGCCGGAAGCACGCGCCGGAATGCGTGCCGACTTTCTTTCTTTGCTATCGACACGACGACGGGTCGGGTTACACTGTAGGCACGTAGGGCGGATGGCGCGCGCGGCGCAGCGCGGCCGCCGAATTGCAATGTGGGTCGTCGACCCCGCCCCGCCCCGCCCCGCCCGGCGGCGCGCTCAATGGCAATCAAAACAAGGTTTTTGAGTGGAACTGAGTGGAACTCCCCCCATCATCCCGCCGCCGTGCTATCTCACCGCATCGCGCTCACCGCTGCTAGTGTGACCGGCGCGTGCCCTCGTGTGTGTGTGTGTCCATTGTTTGTGTCTTTGGATGAAACGGAGACAGCCGGCCGGAGAGAGCTAGCGAGCGACGACGGCGGCGCCGGGCGATTGGTGGGTTTGCTTGCCTCGGCTTGCGCCGCGTGGCGCATGGAATGGCTCTGCCGCAATGCGCGCACACTTTGTATGACTCGATCTGGGGAACGCCGGCAGCAAGCTCGTTCCCACAGTGTCTACGGGATGGCTCTTTCGGGGTCGCAAAAGTGGCCAAAATGCCGTTGAAATCAACAGCATGGCCAACTTTCTCAGTTGAATACTGTGACAGCCAGTTATATGCGGTTTAAGCTGTTTGGTTTAACGCGGTCGATGGGAACGCCAGCAAGTGTTGCAAATGTGGACGCTGTGTTTCCGCGAAGGCCCTCGCAGCCCCGCCTTCACTGGAAGTGTTTGCTGCGGCCATTCCGCCCTTTATCTGAGGCTCTCGGTGCAGTCGTGGGGCGGGCGGGCAGGGCGGGCAGGGCGGGCCCACCAGGGCCGGGCGGTGCATCCCTCCCACCGCCCCCCGCCGCGCCCCGCCGCGCCCCGCCGCGCCCCGCCGCGCCCCACCGCGCCTCGCCGCGCCCCGCTGGCTCGGCGGCGTCGCCGCGCTGCGCGGGCCGCGCGCTGCGGCCCAGTCAGGTAGTAGCGCTCCGCGGCGACGCACGCTCGCGCACGCTGGTGTACTCGACGACCGCCACCGCCTCCGCGCGCCGCCGCCCCCTATCGGCGTGCCGCGACGCCGCGCCGACGCCGCGCCGACGACGTCCCTTTGTTGTGTCGGTCAGCTGGGTGCGCGCGCAGCCCCCGCACCGCGACGCACGCACCGCGCCGCGCCCCGCGACCCGCCCCGCCACCCCCGCGAACAGTGTTTGGTTCGCGATCAGCTGTTAGGCCGCCAAGCCGCGGCTCAGCCGCACCATGTGGTTGAAGGACCCCTCTCGGTCCGAGCCCGACCACGAGTAAGTACCCGCCTCCCTCGCACCCCCGAGGGACGCCCCCTGCGGGTGCGAGAGGGACGGAGCGACGAAACGACGCTTTGCCAGGCCGGCCAGGCCCAACCACCCCCCCCCCCCCCCCCCCCGGGCGTTGGCCCAGCACCGCGCTGTTTACAACTTGCCGGCGCGGGAAAAAGAAAAGTAGCACTTCATTCAGCCGGTGTCGTAGAGTGGGGCTCTGCACTGGGAATTCCCCGACGAGCATGTCCAAGCCACTGCCAAAGGGGTGGCCGCCGGCAACTGGGGTCAGGGACTGTCGAATGGGGACTGTCGAATGGGGACGGTCGAATGGGGACCGACGAATGCCGACGCAGTCGCGTTCGGACTGCGTCCAGCGAGGACTGCGTCAAATGGGGATGCATAACAATGGCAAACCACTCTAAAATTCAGAAATTAAATGCTTCTCTCGCTCTGTTGTCAGCGCTGCCAAGGGATGAGGCAAGTTACATGTGTGCGTCTTCTGGCAAACATGGCACATCGCGCTGGGAAAAGCACACACACACTTACACACACGAAAAGGGAAAGTTTTGCTGTGTTGGCGACGCGCGGGTCAGGCCGACGAGCGCGTTGTGTCGCTGTGGCTGATTTGTCGTCTCGGAATGATGAGCCCGACTGGGATTTGGCAGCGGGAAGTCAAAGTGATGCATTCGGTTTACTACGTACCACTGTACCAGCGCGTCGCAGCATGCCGCATAGCGTCGCGTGGCGTCGCATGGCCTGGCCTTGCCCGCGGGTACCTCATACACAGCCCGCTGGGCGCGCGCCCAAATCGCGCTGGCCGTCCCCTCGCTACGTGTGTGTGTGTCAGAGAGAGAGAGAGAGAGAGAGAGAGAGAGAGAGAGAGAGAGAGAGAGAGAGAGAGAGAGAGAGAAGGGGGGGGGGACCTTAATAGTATATGTCCACGCTGCCGGAAACAGGCTGGCGGCGCCCGCGCGCTTCCGCCAGCATCGTCGCCATCGGTGTGAGTTTGTACTACTACGTACAACAGCAGCGCACCGATCCTCTAGCAGTGTCGCCGCCAATTGGTTTCCTCTTTTTGTACGCTGCGCGTGGCGGCGGTGCGGCGCGGCCGCTTCCACGAAGCGCTGGCCGTGTCGCGTCCGAATGCAGGCAGCGAGGGCGTGTGCGGCGGAAGGCACCACCACTTCACTCACTTCACCCGGCGACACAAAGACTGCATCAGCCAAAGTCGCGAGAGAGATGTCTTGCACGAGTCAATACCATCGGTGTGGCCGCCATGACGCAATGCTAGTTCGCCACCGCGAAACCACCTCGCCGCTGGACTCCTCCGAGTGACTCACTGTTTACGGTGTAGTGCGCGGCCGGCGTGGCCCCGACGCACGGTGCCACTGTACCTGGTACAGTCGGTGCACTTCCAACGAAGACGGGGGGCCGGGCCGTGTCAGATTTCGTCGCCGATTCTTTGTTTCTAATCGGATAATGACCGTGCCCCCGGGGAAGTGAAGATAATTTCTGCCTCGCTGGGGATTGTTGTGGGCGGGTTTACAGTGTGCAGAGAGCTGCGGGAAAGTGGCGACATTTTCCTCACTGTTTTTCCTGACAGCGTCCCGGCCAATGTGACGAAGTGCGACGAAATGCGGCAAAGTGAGGAGAGTGTGAGAGGTGGCGGCGGCGTGCCACCCGCCCCTCTCTCTCTCTCTCCCTTTTTGTGTGGCAGAAAATAACCTGGCCGTGCCGAGCCGCGCCAAGCCTGGCCAAGCCGCGCCTTCGCAGGGAAGGGCGGCGCCGGAGTCGGAGGATGCTGTGGGCGGCGGGGCGGGCAGCGAGGAGGATGATCCAAGGCTCGGCAGGGAAGTCCGGCTTACACTGTAGGCTCTCCGTCCCTGGAGCCGCCCGGCGGTCCCACGCGCACTCGCACAGGCCCGATTTCAAAGTTCGTTTTTGAAAGGCGCCGAGCGACGACGCGACGGTGTGGTGGTTGGGGGAGGTGGGGGGGGGGTGTCTTTTGTCCGCGGGCAAAGCCATAAGCCACCCCCTGGACTCCAGCGGGCCGTGGGCCGCGGGCCGCCCCCACACGCACACGCGTGTGCCACGCCACGCCACGCCACGCTACGCCGTACCGCGCCTGTCGTACTGTACATCGATCGCACACAAGCTTGGCTGCTCGTTCGGGAACGATGACCGGACAGCAGCTGAGTTGGCGGGGCGGGGCGGGGCGGAGTGGCTATGGTGCACCGCGCGGGGGTGGCGCCGGGGGCGGCCCGCCCGCCGCCCGGTCCCGCCGCCGGAGACTGGGGCATTCCAGCCTCGTCGTGGCTCGTCGAGGATCGACCCAGTGCAGTGCTGGCTGGAGCTGGAAATGATGATCAGGGGCGGGGATTGTCGCCTGTCGGCGTGCAGGCCGTGCAGGACCCCCGGGATCCTCAGGCAGGGGCGGATCCAGGGGGGGGGGAGGACGATTGACCCCATCTTGTTCCCTAGACAGCCGCCTGAAAGGTAGTCCACACTTTTCCCCTGTTAGTCGGAAAACAGCGCAACTTTGCCCCTCCTGCCCCGCTCTGGATCCAGGATGCCGCTGGGATGAAGGAGGCCCTGGACTGTCATGACCCTTCTGGCCTGCGCCACTCATGTCCACTCATGCCGTGCCGTTGCTCTCTGATTGCAGGATTTTCGTGAACCGGTCGCTCCATCTGGAGAACATCAAGTTCTATGGCTTCGACATGGACTACACGCTCGCAGGTTCGTTTCTGTGTTTAGTTTTCATTTTGGCATTCAGGACTGGATAGCTGACTGACCGACTGACTAACTGACTGACTGACTAATTAACAGATTGATTGGCTTTCTGAACGACTGGCTCACTGACTGACTCTCTCCCACCCACACGGAGCGCACCACGAGTAAGAGAGAGACAGAGCGCCGAAAGCGATGACCGGAATCGCTGTGCAGCCCGGTCGGGGCCAGGCCGGGCCGAGCAGGGACCCCGGCAGCCCGCAGTGTGCCCACAGGGCCCGCAGCAGTGTAGGGGGCGGTGTAAACATGTTTATCGTTAGTTGGCCAGCGGGCCAGCGCGCCGGACCTAGACCCAGACCCAGGGCAGCCCAGGCCAGCCCAGCGGCCCGGGAGCCGAAAATGGGCCGCGACACTGTAACACTGTGGCGGGTCCCTGGCCTTTCCCTCCATGGCCCGTCGGCCCGCGGGGTATGTCTGGAGAGCGGCGCGCTGCTCGCGCGGGGTATCGTCACGCCGGCACCCTTTCTGGACCTTCTTACGGCTTCACAGTGGGCCAGAAGACCCCGCTGGAGGCGGTTGAAATCCCGGACGCGTTTGGAGCTCCAGCGTCGCTAAATGGGACTCGAACCGAACGTGTGACCCCATCAATGGATTGCTCTCCGAACGAGGAATCCATTAGTGGGGTCACACGCTCGGTTCGAGTCCTGGCCGCCGGTGCCTCTTGTGGTGTAGCCCGTAATGGTAATGGTAATGGCGGGTAGGCAACCCTCCTGGTTCTGCGTGTGGCGGCACTGCCTACCCAGCACGGCGCTCGGCTGGGTGCAGGCCTGCGCACTGACGCCGAGAGTCGTCTTCGTCGCTCTTTCTCGCACTCGTGGTGCAGGTGGAAGAGGGACGGAGGCGACTCTCGGAATGAGTCTGCAGGTGTAATTGCGGCCGAAGTGTGGAAATGTGGCAACGAGAGCGAGCCTGGCCACACGCCTGCCGGCGACCGGGGATGGGCGCTCCTGATTGGCGGAGACAGGCTGCCTGGGCTGGGTGTATATTTAGTGTGGAAGCTCTCCAACTTTTTGACGGCTGATCCGAGTGAGATCAATAACGGGAACGGGCAGAGCCAGAGCTACTTTTGGAAGTTTGGAGGTGACGCCGTGGGTGATGAATGCTCTGCAGGCTTTGCCCGGCCTTGCCTGCCTTTGCCGTTGCATGATTAATGATTTGCATCTCCGTTCCGTTGCAGAGTACAAGTCCCCGCAGTACGAGCGCCTCGGCTTCAACCTCATCAAGAAGCGCATGGTGGCCATGGGCTACCCGCAGGAGATCCTGGAGTTCGAGTACGATCCCTCATTCCCCGTCAGGTGAGTTGCAAAATTAGCCTTCACATTGTCATCAAGTGACCAAAATATTTCTCAGTGCGCAGTGGCTCGTCATTTTATTAATGTTTTTATTTCTTGTGACAGAGGCCTGTGGTTCGACTCGCAGTACGGAAACCTTCTGAAAGTGGATGCATATGGAAATATTCTAGTCTGTGTGCATGGTTTTGAATTTCTTAAGTTGTAAGTATTGCCTGAACAATTTTTGCTACTATTTTTGTTGTTCTCGTGGGAGTTTTTTTCACCTAAACTTGTATGCTTTCTGTTTTTAGCTCACAGGTTTATGAATTGTACCCTAACAAATTCTTGCAATTAGATGAGTCTCGAGTTTATGTATTAAACACTTTGTTTAATCTACCAGAGACTTACTTACTGGCCTGTTTAATTGATTTCTTCACTAATTCACCACAGTATACAAGGTATGTTTGTTGATTTAGCATGTGTCAGAATCATCATTAGTAAAGTATCAACTTTAAAGTGTCTTTTTTGAATTTTTACAGAGACAAGACTGGAGTCAAGGGAGGTGATCTCTTTATGTCTTTTAAGTCAATCTTCCAAGATGTGCGAAGTGCTGTAGATTGGGTTCACATTCATGTAAGCAGATAAATGGACTCGTGTTTGTCCTTTTGGCCACTTGCTTTGTTACATCTTTTAGTTATTAATTTATTTTTTTGGCAGGGTGATCTGAAATCAAGCACAATTCAAAACTTAGAGGAATATGTGAAGAAGGATGAACGCCTACCTATGTTCCTGGCACGAATCCGTGAGAGTGGAGCTAAAGTTTTTCTTCTCACAAACAGTGATTACAATTTTACTGATAATATCATGACATATCTGTTTGATTTCCCCCATGGAGCAAGAGTAAGTTTATAATTCAATTAAAATTTGGGGAGCAGGCTGAAAGGGGAAACTAATTATTTGACAACCTCAATACTCTATTCTCATTTCCTTCCTTGCAGCCAGAAGACCCACACCGTGACTGGAAAACCTACTTTGATGTAATTGTGGTTGATGCAAGGAAACCACTATTTTTCGGAGAGGGGTCTATCATGCGTCAGGTTGACACATCAACTGGAGCCCTCAGGGTTGGCACTCATATAGGTCCTTTGCAGACAGAGCATGTTTATTCTGGAGGTAAAATGTTTAAAATTATTATTTTTAACTCTCAATTTCCTTTTTTCAAAATCAATGTTTAACTTTGTTTTGGTTACAGGCTCATGTGATGTTTTTACTAAACTAATCGGAGCCAAAGGTAAAGATGTCCTCTACATTGGAGATCATATATTTGGTGATATTCTGAAATCAAAGAAGATCAGAGGCTGGCGCACATTCCTTATTGTCCCTGAATTAGTCCAAGAGCTTCATGTCTGGACTGATAAATGCCAACTCTTTGCTGACCTCCAGAATTTGGATGTCACTCTGGGAGAAATGTATAAGTAAGTTTTTGTTTTTCAAATCACAAAATACTTGTGCTGAAATATTGCCAATACCTATTGGGGAGTTAATTGTCACTAATTTATTCATTTCTTTCTTTCAAACTCTGTGAATTAGAAATTTGGACAGCAGCACAAAAGAGAAACCAGATATTTCCAAACTAAGGAATGCCATTCGTGATGTAACCCACAAAATGGACCTTGCCTATGGTATGATGGGCAGTTTATTCCGCTCTGGATCCAGACAAACATTTTTCTCTAGCCAAGTTGTGCGCTATGCTGACCTGTATGCAGCAACATTTTTGAATCTGATCTATTATCCTTTCTCATACATGTTCCGTGCACCTGCAATGCTGGTAATTTCCCCATCGACTTTTGTCCATTTACTGATCTGTTGAATTCTTGTCAACCTAAATTTTGTTTTCAATTTTTGCCCTAGATGCCCCATGAGTCCACTGTGGCCCATGAGCAGCGATTTGTGATGGAAAGCCCAATGATTTCCCGATCAAGGACATTTTCTATTATTGAAAATGAAGAGACTGACAATCATCGTCCAAAGGTTTGTTGTTAGCCAGGAAGTGTTAATCTTCTGTCTGATTTTCTGAGCTAAACTAAAGGTGTATTATTACTCTGGTTACAGCTGGAAAAGATGCACAGCATGGTGCCACATGCTCGTCCTGAAACACCACGTTGTGTGACACACAACCACGATGAGGACTATTCTGATGAAGAAAGTGATAGCATCAAATCCAACGAAGAGAAGACAGCATAATTTTGTTATTGTGTCAAGTATACTGTGGAGAGGCTTCTCCTACATTTTTTATGAGATTTCTAAGATGATTTGATCCAACATCAATGTGATACTAAGTTATATCTTGAAATTTACCACGGTTAATGTTGTTTCCAACCAGTATAAATTTGCTGCATTTAATCATGATGGATATCTATCACTGTTGACTCCTGTCTGTTTTTGACTCTCTCATGTTTCTTCATTTAACTTATTCTATGAAATTTAAAGTTTCGTATTTCTTGATTTTGTTTCTTTTTGAGGCAAGAAGCTGTTAATGTTATCCGCTAAAGAGACACTTCAATGCATTTAAATCAGATTCTTTTTTTGACACTTGTTTTCCATATTTAAGAAGGGCCTCTCTGAAGATGATGACTTAACATGCAGAAGAAAAAAAAAGTTTGAACCTGTCTTAATACTTTGGTCTGAAATGTTGGGTGATAGAGAATGTGGTTTGCATGGCAGTTGACTTTATATTATAAGAATCTATTGGCAGCATTGCCAAGAGGCTTTAGAAAATCAGATGTTTCTCAAAATTTACCAAATGGTCGCTGGTAGATATTTTTCTAGTGCCATGTATGTACAATCATAGTGAAATGTTGTTTAAGAATTTTAGCTAGGAAAAATAACACCACCTAATGTTTGAAAATCTCATCTCTGACACTCAAATTTCATTAGTCTTGCATTTTTTCATGTCAGTTTTCTTCCCCTCGTTGTTATTGTTCTGAGGGCTGCAGATATGTGTATCAATACACTGCCAGTAATTAATGATGCAAGTTATTTCCCTGAGAAAATAGTTTTTGTTGAACTTTAGGTTTAAGAGTAAGGAAGCTATATTAATTGATATTTTAAATGTTGTAATAGGCTATCAAAACAGTTTTGTAACATTATGTACAGCTTTTTAAAAATAAATGTTAATTTTTTTAAAAGAAATGGATTGCATTACGAAGTACCCTTCTCCAGACAGAAACCATGAAAACTAATGCAGTTGTTGTTGTTGGAGATGCTGCTCACCATGGAGCCGAGAGCTGCGAATGTTTTTCCTGTCACGAGGCCTTTTAAGCATACCCAATGATATGAGCGGAGGTACACGACACAAAAGAAGTCCCGACCCTGCCAGGATTCGAACCTGGAATCTTCTGATCCGTAGTCAGACGCGTTATCCATTGCGCCACAGGGCCAGCGCTGCGGGGGGAGGTGACTTCCCTGGCCATAAAGCGCCCACGATTTATTGATCGGACGAACATGCGGTGCATGGCGGGAATTTCAAACCGGTGGGAGAATTTTCTTGGAAAACGTGATAAATTTAGGAGAACTTTCAATATTGCATGGTTTTTTTATTTTTTCACACATGACTTATTACAATCCAACTGACTTATTTGCGATTTTTAAGAAAAGGTCACAAACTTTTCTAAATGACATCAAAATACAGAAAACTTTTTATCAATGAAGAAAAAGAAAGAAGACACAACTAAACCACAAAGAGCAAGCCATTAGGATGAAATACCCCATGAAAATTTTGTGGTTTCCTACATATTTCACAGGAACTTGCATACCGTTGCACACTCGCACATAAATTACATGAGAACTGCTTTATACTGAGAAAAACAACAAACAAAACCAAACTATCTACAAGACTCTACAGTATATACAAAACTCATTTGAGAATAGCTTTCTCTAATAATAAATCACCAGAGATAGCAAAGCATGATACAGTTTAAGGCACTCTACACATGAATTTGAGGAAGCTATGGACTTCCAGTGGGTATTATGAATGAAATAGATTCCCCCCAGTCTCCCCATTCAATACGATGTGTTTGGTACAAAACTATCCAGATGGTCAATGCAATAATCCACAGAAGTGCACCCACGCCAGAGAGTAAAACATCTGAAACAAAATAAAATTGATTGATAAAAAATTGCATGATAATAAAATAAGAGAAAAATGTGACCACGCATACATCTCTTTATTTCTTTTTGCTCGGGGTAAGGATCCGCAGTGAAAGCTGCTTTGTAAAACCAAACAAAATTGACGGCCCACAAAAGAGGCAGGAACGCCCAGCCAGCTGCAACATGCAAGAAATAAAAAGACTGAATATAATTATGTTTTTGGTTCAAAACCACATCATTGTTTAATTTTATCAAGAGAAATGATGAATGAAAACATTGAAAAAGACGACATTTATTGCTTCTCAGGAATGAGGGCCACCGGTTTTCACAATGTACCTCTGGCATAAAGTCTGCATATCTCAAGTTTCCTTTCGTTTCGCACTTTGGTCAGATCCATATTTGCAGTTCTCTCATAGCACTAATTGGCTGTCAAGACTTGGCAGGCGATGGGGTTCACCGGGTTCACCACACAATGACTACCGTCGGACTTCCCTGCGAGCGCACTGGGCCGCCGAACCCTCTCGCAACCCTCACGACCATTTCGCTCGTTAAATAACGCCCCCTTCCGGCGCCTTAAAATTAAAAGCGGACATAACTTCGATTTTCCACAAACGGCTGTCCCTGTTGGAGCCGACGGCAGCGGCCTAGCAGACGACAGAGGCGGTGCCGGCGGCGCGCTGCCATTGGTCGCCGGTCACTTCCCCGGGCCAATGGGAGAGCACCGTCGCTCGCGGGTTCCGCCAGCCGCCGCCAGGGGGCGCGACGCCGATCGTCTCTTGTCGTCACCGCGCAATCCCGCCCCCTTTCGAAGTTCGCAGGCCTTGCTTGCGCCCCAAACTGTTGCAGCGCGACGACCCGGCCCGACCTGCACACTGATTCCGTCGCTCTGTCTCTCTCGCACTCGTGGGGCGTCCCGTATGGGTGCGAGAGAGATGGAGAAATCAGTCCGACCGCGACCGGGAAGGGGAGACGAGTGGAGTAAACCGAGCCTCGTGCGTCGATGTCGGAAAGAGGCAACAGCACGCATTTGCAATTCAAGCGCGGCTGAAGGAGAGGCTGCCCGGCGGGCTGATTCCGAACTGTAGCTCTGTCTCTCTCGCGCTCATAGGGAGCGCCGTAGCGGTGCGAGAGAGACAGAGCGACGGAGCACCGCTCGGAACCAGTTTACAGAGATGCACCAACTGGCGTAACGGGTAACAGCCGGCTCGGGGGAGCTGAAGCTAAAGCAAGCTGGAGCTGGCGCGGTGTCTGCTTGGAATCGCAGATGCAGAGGCGCTGGCGCACCGTAACAGACACGCCACCATCAACACAATGGTCCGTCATGGTTTCATGTCCACTGTTTCCGCCTTCAGCACCACCACTGTCAGCGCGTCGCTCTGTCTCTCTCTCACGCACAGGGAACGCTCCTTGAGTGCGAGAGAGGCAGGACGACGGACACGATTCTTGGAATTCAGTCTGCCGGCGCTGGACTCAGACCACCAGGTGGGCCCACACTGTGAGCGCTGCCGTGCTGTGCCGGGCCGAGTCCCACGCTCCTCCCTCAGTGAGTCCCTCAGTCGGCACCGCCGCGCCCCGCCGTCCGGACGCCCCACCGCACCGCTCCGCCCACAGCGCGCCGGGCCGCGAGTTCGCGAGCGGAGCGAACACCCTCTCGCGCTACAGTGGCGCGCCAGTGCCACGCCAACCCCGGCTCGGCCGGCTCGGCCCACGTGGTCTGCGCGCACGCGGCACAGGGTGGTCATGTCCTTGCCGGCCCCGGCGTCTCGCCCGCGCCACGGCCACGGGGCTGCGGGGCCTCGGCCTGCACCGCGTCCGGGGACATAGCCTCCAGGCTCGCTGACTAATCTGAGCGGTCTGGTTGGATTGGAGCGGCCCACTGTTCGGATTTACTCAAGAGAGCGCCGCCTCCCCGTCGGCTCCTGTCGTCTGCAGTGGCCTCGCCGGCCTCGCCGGCCCCGCCGTCCGCACCGGCACGCTCAAGGGTAAGCTTCTTGGTGTTCGTGACCTGCGCGCCGTCGCTCTGTCTCTGTCGCACTCGCGGGGCGTCCCGGAGGGAGCGAGAGAGACAGACAGCTTGTCTCGTGGAGCGGCCTGGGTTGTTGGAATGCGGCGAAGACATATTGGCTGGTCCGGCGGCAGCAATATGTGGCGCCGACGGGGCGGAAGCGGAAGGGAAGGTCGTTCCAGTCGAATGCGCGCCGAAAGCCGGAAAGCCGAAAGCGGTAAGCGGAAAGCCGGAAAAGAGAAAGCTTGGCGCTCAAACTGAAAGACACGCGGTGCAGTCACCGGCGCGCGCGTTAGTTTGAGTTTGCGCGCGGCTCGAGCCGGTGAAAAATATGAAGAAAGTTTGGGCGAGGCGAGGGCGAGGCGAGGGCGATGCGAGAGCCTGATTGCCGCGATTCACGATCGCCACCTGTGCCGAGGCTGCCGGATCAACTGCAGGCAACAGCCGCTCTGTCTCCCTCCAACCAGTGCGGGTCCCCCATGACGGCTCTCGGAGTCAGTGTGCTGCGCTCCTCATGTCGCGGCGTCGCGTGGCTTCGCGTCTCATCGTAATTCGACGCCGTGGTGTCGACGGCGTCCTCGCCGCGTCCTGGCGGCGTCCTGGTGGCGTCTTCCCTTTTCGCTCCCCGACTCCCCCACAAAGGCCGTGTTCCTGGCGGCAGTGGCGGCAGTAGCGGCGGCTCGGGTGGCCGCCCACCAGAAGATTCGTTTGGTCGCTCTGTCTCTGTCGCACTCACGCGGCGCTCTGTAAGGGTGCGAGAGAGCGACCTTCTGAATGACTCGGCTGCCCGTGCAGTGTGCAGCCGGACGAGTCCACCGCCGTGGACGATCGGCGGCGTCTCTGGCGCATAGGCGCAGCATGCAGACTGACTCCGACTCGCACCTATAGGGGGCGCCCCATGAGTGCGAGAGAGACAGAGCGACGAAAGCGGCTTTCGGAATCAGTCTGCTGAACACAGGCAGCCTTGCACCGCGGCTTGCGGGGTGTCTTGGCCTCTGCAGTGAGTGCATGCATGGATTGGGCGAAGCAGCGCCAGCCAGCCCGGCCCGAGGCCCGGCCCCATGTGTGCCCTGCTCTCTCTCTCTCTCTCTCTCTCTCTCTCTCTCTCTCTCTCTTCTCTCTCTCTCTCTCTCTCGGCCCTCCAGCAATCAAACAGCCGGAAACTATATTTGTTCCGGTCTCGGGTTGCGCTAGTGCCCCCCCCCCCCCCCGGACTTCGGCCTCACGGTTGCTGCAAGCCGCGGCCAAGGGTGAAAAGAAAGAAAATCGAGAAAATCGCAGTCCTCTCCGCTGCTGCTCTATAAGGCGCGTGGGTTCGACTCCTCCGCCAGCAGCTGCGTCCAGCCGAGTGACTCGGAGAGGAGTCTCTCTCTCTCTCTCTCTCTCTCTCTCTCTCTCTCTCTCTCTCTCTCTCTCTCCTCTCCTCCCTCTCTCTCTCTCTCTCTCTCTCTCTCTCTCTCTCTCTCTCTCTCTCTCTCTCTCTCTCTCACTCTCACTCTCTCTCAAAACGCGTCCGGGTTTTCACCGCCACGCCGCTCTTCCGGCAAATCCAGTGTGGCGGCGCGGGCAGCCACGCGGTGGCGGCCATGGCGGCCATGGCGGCGGCTCGCTCTCTCGCTTTCTGCACATCAAAGCGCTCGCTCGGATCGCAATCCCGGAACATTGTTGCCATAATTCGGGTGCAGCGCTGCCACCTGAGCAGGCAAACATTCCCTCTGGCTTCGGCAAGCTGGCTCAGCTGCAGCGCTACACGAGCGACACGCAGCCAGCAGCCCGCCGCTCCATCATCGCGCACCTGGCTGCCATTGGCTGCCACCTGACTCCGCGGCCCATTCATCGCCAGGTGCATTATGGGTAATAACGGCATTAATAATGTCGTCCGCCAATCGATCACTGTTGGGGCGAAGGGTAGAGAGAGAGAGAGAGAGAGAGAGAGAGAGAGAGAGAGAGAGAGAGAGAGAGAGAGAGAGAGAGAGAGGAGGGGGGGGGGGGGAGGTGGATGATCCAGGCGTCTTAATGGCACAGCTGTTTCCAAGTGGTTCGAGGTGCGGCGCCTCGGCGGCACGACGGCGTCGCTGCGGTACACTGGTACACTGCTGTGCGAGATTTAATAAAGCTCACTTTACGAGAGATTTTTACGAGAGCCGTCTCCCTTTCGCCACCGGTTTTATAGTACCTGAAGGGGAAAAATGGAGTGCGTCGGCGGCGGGCGGGGGCGGGGGGGTGGGGGGGGGGCAGAGGGGGCAGATATTAAGGAGAAGACTCGCCTGCAGCTATTATGAGTCCCGATTATCATCCCGTCTCTTTCCCTCCATGCCCCCCGCCCCCTCTCTCTCTCTCTCTCTCTCTCTCTCTCTCTCTCTCTCTCTCTCTCTCTCTCTCTCGGCCACCTCCTCGAAGTGCGCCACGGCCTCTGCGGCCTCCTCCACGGCCTCATTACAGCCCGACAAATCCAGCACTCAGCAGCGTGCCGCCGCCGCGCCGCCCGGGCAGCGCAAAGTGCAACCTCCCTTCTAATTTATGCCATTCTTTCCTCCATTTTGTTATTCCGCTGCTCCGCCACGCGGCTGACTGAAACACGACTAAAAAAAATAACGTCAGAAAAAATTGCGATTATTTTTAGTTTCTTTCAGTGTCCTTATTTCACCGCTGTGCTTGCAGCAGTGCGTTTTACTTGGTTTGGTGCGGCTGCTTTTCTTATTTTAGCGCGCCGCCGCCGCTAAATGGCTAAAATGCTCTGCGTGCGGTGCGGTGCGAGTTGGGACGAGGTGGCGCAAAGCACGTAGGGATGCCGGCACTGCGGGGCGGGGCGGGGCAAGACACTCTTCCCGCCGAAAAGGGTCGCCGCAGTCTTTCTAAAGCCCCGCGCCCCCGCGAGACGCTGAGTGCGGTCCACGCGACACACGGCGACACACCGGGGCGCCTTCTTCGTCCCGCCTCTCTCGAAAGACCTCACCCGGAATGGCGTCGGCCCAGAGCCCCGCCCCGCCCCGCCCCGCCCCGCCCCGAGGGACCGCGCTCGGTCAAGTGAACGGGCAGGAGGAAAACAGGGGGCCAGAGTGGCTAGCAGCATGACCCCGTGCGGCAGGGCCGGGCAGGGCCGGGCTTGGGACGGGGCCCGCGCCCATTGGGCATTGGGCCCCACAGTGGGTCCCCACCATGTCCAGCCCGCAGTCCGCACCGTCACGCCGTCCACTACACCGCGAGGCTAAACACAGCAACCCCTCCCGGCCCCACCAGGCCACCGTTCCAACTTATAATCCCAACTTATTTAACTTTTAGGGGTGCCTAATGCGGAGCGCGCTCTCTCTCTCTCTCCCTCTGTGAGTCGACGGTCACTCACAATACACTCACCCCCACCCCTGTCCGGCCCCTCCCCCTCCCCCTTCCTCCTTTCGGTCGGTTGGGCGGATGGATACGCGTATCCCCGAACTACACCAACAAGAGCTCCGTCAATGACCGGCAACAACAACAACAACAAAATCGACGACGAAAACGAAAGCGACTACGACGACAGAAGTGCCAGCTAGAGCCTCGGGTAGAACGACGAGGACGACGTACGATGGAGAGAGAGAGGGAGAGAGGAGGGGGTGGGGGAAATGAATGGGGGACATCCACGCATGGCGGTCCTGAGTGAGACGAATTCGTCGCGCCGCGTTTAATACGGTGTGGGGGCGCGGGGGCCCCGAGCGCGAGCATCTGGCGATTCCAATTTGAGGGAGCAAGACAGCAACAGGAGGGAGAGAGAGAGAGAGAGAGAGGGGGGGTGGCAAAATGTTTCCGCAAAAATTATTAATTGCACTTCTACTTGTTTTTTTTTTGTCGTGGAAGCTGCTGGTCGGTGGGAGGGGGCGGAGTGAAAAATGAGGCATGGGACACAACTTGTGAAAGTGCATAATTGGCGAAAAGAAGGCCCGGTCGGTGGAGGGGGAGGGGGGCTGCTCTAAGCTCTCTGACAGCTTCCCCCTCCCCCTTCCAGATTATTCACTCTGTGCGGCCATTTGCCAGCAGGCCGGAGACAAATCGGGGCAGTCCGTGATTAAGGAGCGCTGCGCCATGTGCCGTTCTCGGCGCCGCGCTTTGGCCGCGCTTTGGCCGCGCTTTGGCCGCGCTTTGGCCGCGCCTGCTGCAGGTCGGGACCAAGGCCGCCTTGCAAACAGTGGACCTGCCAGAAGACCGGCGTCATGCCGGCGGCCGAAACTCCAGACGCGTTTTGAGCTCCAGAGTCGCTAAACGGGACTCGAACCGAACGTGTGACCCCACCAATGGATCGCTCTCCGAACGAGGAATCCGTTGGTGGGGTCACACGCTCGGTTCGAGTCCCATTTAGCGACTCTGGAGCTGAAAACGCGTCTAGAGTTTCGGCCGCCGGTCTTCTGGCCCACTGTTTGGTGGAGCGACGCGTCTAACGCCTGCAGCCGGGCGGGCGGGCAGACCCGCCGAACAGCTTTGAGCCGCTTGCTGCGGCCCAGACGGCTGAGGCTGGCGAGGCCGAGGCTGCCGGGGAAAGGAAACGGCCTTCGCTCTTTGCTCCGCCATCGCCGTCTCGCTCCCTCTTATTAGCTGATCGCCGGCCTTGGTGGCGTCCGACTTGACCGACAGTGGCGGCGCGCTGGCGGCGGCTAAGCCGTGTGGGATGCCTCTGGGCGGGGCAGGCGGGCAGGCAGGCAGCCAGGCAAAGGCCACCGCCGCCTCCCCTCGCTCCTCGCGGCCAGATGTAATTAAATCTGTCTATCCGGCCACTTTGGAACGGGAACGACGGTTTGCTGGGCACGGCACGGCACGGCACGGGGGGCGTGCCCCGCCGTGCCCTGCCCCACCTCACAGGGCCCGTTGTCTCCACACGGTCGTCGCACCGCGACACGTCGACGCCACCGACGCCACCCCACGCCCCACACCTCAGCACTCAGCCGCCCCCGGCAACCCCCTCGCAGCCCCCCGGCAGCCCCCGGCCAAACTGTTCTAAACTGCTGTACT